CATATATTGGTATTAGTTGATATTAGCAAAGAATATTATTGTCTGGCTTTAGTTAGTTAGGGATAGTACGTCTATATATTTTGCATTTTTTTATTAATATTCTGTTGTTACACTGCAATAATACTTGTTATTTTGGATGTAGGAAAATGATTTTTAATGCTTTTAAGCATAAGTTTAATAAATAATAATAACAGTAATAATTTGTTATACCTACTAACGACAAAATTTAAAATCATTTAATATAAACATTTTTTTAAGTAGTGGCAAAATATAAACAACAAATTAGATGTAAAAATTATTTATATTAGATCCTATTTAAAATAATATAGACTCTAAATTTTTTGGGCAACGGTTGTTTTTTAAATAATAATAATTACAGAACTAATTTGTTATATTAACAACAAATTTTAAAATCATGAAATATCAACATTTATTAATTTTCTAAGCATGCAGTGTAATGGATGGAAAATATAAATAAAAAATTAGAAATCAAAATTATTTATATTAGGTGCTTTATATTACTATTTAAAAATAATATTATTTACTTTAACTGGCATTTACTTTAAAAAATAAATGAAATATTTCTTCGCAAAAAACTACATGTAAGAGAATTAGCATAAACAAAATACAAACAAACGTTAACTTTTTTTTAAAATTGGCACGTGTAAAACTTTCAATTTAATTTTCTCACCCCATAGTTTGAGTTCGATAACCATTTACTTAACCACATTACTTAAATATGATCATTAAGTTCAACTAATTCATATTATTAAAACATTTAAAATACAAATATCTATTTTTAAAATTAATTGTAAGTTCATCTCATCTCTCTTAAAAATTGCTACTTCTCAAAATGTTCCATTAAAAAATAGACCATATACCATATAAAATTAAATAATTGAAAGATCGGGCTAAAAATGTTGACCACCTGCACACGCACACAATCGTCAATTAAAAAAAAACTACTATTTTAGTATTTTAAATATTTTAATAAACGCAAAAATAGCACAGTATTTATACGGCGAAGTTATAAAAATTTGGAAGAACTAATAATGCACTGACGCACACAAAAATCAAACGGATACTAAATTTCATTTATCAAAAGCATTCGATAGTCGTGGCTCAACGATAACCATTTAGTGGCACGGCAAGGTTGTCACGTATGCTTTAGTATACAAATGAATGAACGATTTTATTCGAAAAAAACCATTCGATAGTTGAAATCATTCATTCAGTAACCATTCGATAGTTCCCATCGCTAATTTTAATGACCTAAATCATTTGATTTTAAGTCATATTTCGAAAGCTGACTTAAGACTTAAAGTTTAAGTCATTTTTAAAATGACCTGTGACTTAAGTCTTTATTCCAAAATAAAAAAAAAGTCTTTTTAGAAAAGATTTAAGTCAGTAAAAAAAGATTTAAATCTTTTTTTAATGCCTTAATAGGCCAGTCGGTACGTCGCGTCGTTTTAAATAGGCCCAGGTGAAAAGAATTAGGGGCAAGCTGAATTATTTGTTATTTTCTTTGTTTTGATGTGCTGAATGATACATTCAATTTGCACGGTCTGTCGATCCCGGATTTGGCCGCCATTTTGAAAAAGTCGATATAAAAACTATATTTTTATGGAATTTTTTAAAATATCTCGGTCGGGAGCATTGTAGAAAAAAAATGCAGGTAACCAAAAATAAAGCAAATTACATTCTCTACTAAAAAGGTTCTATTAATTATTCTCGTAAACTTATCAGTTCTAAAGTTATAGCAATTAACATCTAAGGCTTATAGCCGACCATACTAACAGGTATGCTAGGTTAGTTTTTTTTTAATTTCACTCAAAATCAGTTATTTGGGTCATAACATAGATAAATGCAACAAGTTTAGATTGGAAAGCCCGTAAAAATTTTGGGTCGCGAGATTATTTTGGGTCGCGACCATTATACGCGATCTGGCGCTGCTATAGCGGTCGCTAAGAACAACGGCAAACAAAAACAGAAATAATTTTCTCTTGTCAAAGTCAGAATCTTTAAAAATCATAATAATCTTTCAAAATCTAAACCGCTCTCATTAAAGAAATTTCGAAAAGTGTTTATAGCGTCCATTTTCAAAGTTATTACTGCTATCTTGTGAGTTTAATTCAAGTTTTATTTACTCCAACCGGTGATAATTTTGAAAAAGTGGCATTAAAAACATAAATAGCTGTGCTGTGAACTGCAAAAACCATCGTGGATCGTGGCATAACGTCGGTTTCCAATGTTTCATAGGTATTTCATACATGCGTCCTTATATAAAATAAAATTTATTGTATGCAACACACTGTATTTTATTTATAAAATTAAACGAAAATAATAATAAATTTGAATAAACAATATTTGGCGATATAATTCCGGAAAAAGCCGAACCGCTCCGAAATTTTCAAAAGTTTTGGGTCGCGACCGTTGCAAGAATAGCGCCAAATAGTGTTTACATTGTCCTTATGGGCACTTTCCAATCTAAACTTGTTTCATTTATCTATGGGTCATAAATGACCTGGATACAAAATATTTTCATGGTGTCTGTCTGTCCGTCTGTAACACGATAACTCAAAAACCGCTAAACCGATTTTAACCAAATTTGGCACAAAAATACTGTGGCACCCGAGAATCTGGCCATTAGTTTTTGGTGGGGGTGGGGGGTTGGTAAGGGGGTATGGGAGGAGGTTAAAAATTTTTAAAAAGCATAACTCCAAAATTACAGTGGGTAGCTAGCGAAACGCGGTTTTCAATTTAAGATTAGGAATAATATTTGCAACAAAATTTGTATTAACATCAAAATCAGTCAAAGTCGCAGTTTTTCAGATATTCCGTGTTTCCGTAGTCCGTTTTTGAGAAAATCCGTGTGGAGAACTCCAAACTCCCATCGGACGCGACCCCAGGTGGCGGATAGAGGAAATAACCGCGGACCAAAATTGGGAAAATTCCTTTACTTTGAAACTCAATGAACTGCCTACCAACTTTTTATTAACATATTTTAGTATGGGCGGCTATACGTGCCTCCCGGCGCCAATTTTTTTTAAATACATCTTAATGTGCGCTAGCGTTAAATTTGATACTTGATCTATTCGACAACAGCGCGAGACGGCAATCGGGGTGCGGTCAATTACGCAAACCAGTTCGGGCGACTTTTAGTTTTAGTGTTTCATTATACTATTCCGAAGTAAGTAACACAAAGATTAGGATTAGGCCTATAGGGGAAACCACTTTAAAAAATGCGCCGAGTGCTCTACCGCCAGGTGGTGTGGAAACGAGCACAAGAAAAACATAAATTTGTACTGGCAAATTATTCAAATTTATATAGAATCAGTTTCTCATATTAAATGAACCACTAAAAAATATATGCTTTGTATTTAAGCAGCGCCTGTATCTCGTTAACTTGTTCATGCACGAAATCGGTGAAGAGGACCTTTTTTGTAGAGAATTTAAATAGCTTTCTTTTTGGTCTCTTTCAAATTTTTTGTACCACCCAGACCGAGTTATTTAAAAAAAAAACATAAAAATGTCATAATTTGACAGGATTTTCGAATATGGCGGCCAAATCCGGGATCGATGGTGCAAATTTAGTAGAGTATTCGACAAAGCAAAACGAAGAGAATAAGTGTTATTGCAGCTTGCCCCTAATTATTTCCACCTAAAACCACTTGTCGACTGGTCTATAAGTCATTTTACAAAAGACTTAAATCTTTTAGAAGATTTAAATCTTTACAAAAAAAACTTGACTTGAAAGAAAATGGCTTAAGTCAAAGACTTAAAACTTAAGTCATTTGAATTATATAGAAATTGACTTAAGACTTAAATCCGAGCTTAAATTATTTTGATTTTAGAATTGACTTAAGACTTGAGTCTTTTTAAAACTGACTTGTTGCAGCTCTGTTCGAGAGAATAGAGCTACGAAATCAATTTATCTAGGAGAATTTCCTCACGAACAATTTCGAGTGGGTAGAATAGGTCTTCTACTCGAACTTTTCTCTGTATATGGATTTCTTCGGGCTGATTTTCTTCACAGTGACGGTTACAGCTAGTTGTGAATTATTTTAAATCTTTAACGTTAAAACTAGTTGTGACGAATAACAGTTTAGCCGAATTCGGCCGAATTTGAACCGAACATTCTGTCGAGTTTCGATTCTAGTACTTTTTCTTAATTAGTAAAGCCCAACGTCTTATTTGGCTTCGAGCGGCAAAAAGTGAGCGTTGAGCGCGTATAAAAATTTCATTATTACTAAATACAAAATTCTTGCCTTGAGCTACTATATTTTTCAATTTTTCATTGTTCGAAAATTGAAAAAAGAAAAAAAAAATGATATGTTGCAGCTAGCAGGGGGCTAGAGAACTAGCTCCCCAACTCCCACGACCAGTTTCTGGGCCTACTGTTTCAGGTGGGCTGTTCAGAGATTGGTTCTCCAACGAAACGACAAACACAACTTTAACAATTTGACACGGCGATGTCAAATAGTATCAGTGAAATATTAAGAATCTCGCGCCAAACGATGGAGAAAAGCATTTTTCGGCCACTCTAATATAAAGGTAAACAAAATTTTTCTTGCGGCTCGGTTTTTAGTATAAATTACTAAATACAAAATTTATTTACCTTTATTTACTATGTCGAAGAATGCTCTTTTTCATCTTTTGGCGCAAGATCCTTAGTATTTCACTGATACCACAGATTAGGTATACTATAGTATACAGATAAAAATCTTATCCCTAAAAAAAATAACAATAAACAGCGTAATAGAGAGATATCGCTAAACCGAATAGCGTGCATGGACGTTAATAAGGCCAGGTGTTATTTCCTTTACGTGAGCGGTAACGTTATTAGCGGGTGTTGCGTTAAAATTTGACTCGCGCATATCGTAACCATGATAATGTACGCGTAAATACTGCATGACGCTGTTCGGTTTTCCGATATCTTTCTAATAACTGTGCCAGTCAGGCGCTGTGCACTGTGGCTGTGCACAATTTTAGAGGCCATAAGTGGGCGTGCTATGTGCACAAACTAGTAACCTAACTAGTGCCCGATTCCGAAAATTGGAACCACGAAAAACAATAAAGAAAAAGCAAAGTTTATAATCTGTATAATCTGTGCTGATACCGTTCGACATCGTCGAGTCAACTTGTTAAAGTTGTGTTTGTCATTTCTTTGGAGAACCAACCTTTGTACAGTCTACCTGATGAGGTGGTAGGCCCAGAAACCGGTCGTGGGAGTTGGTTCCCCCCTTAACGAAAAAAAAAACAATTTTTTCCTTTTTTTCTTTTTTGAAAAATGAAAAATATAGCAGCCCAAGGCAAGAATTTTGTATTTAGTAATTTATACTAAAAGCTGCAAGAAAACTTTTGGTTACCTTTAATTTGAATATTTCTACTTGGTTTTTAAAATTCTTCAACGATAATGAGAAAAAGCTAAAACTTCATATTCACTTCAGGTTTGAAAACTATTTGAATTTTATACATTGTAGTGAAAAAACTCTCAATCAGCTCTTAATGGCACTGTAAGGGACTTACGCCCGATAGACATAATAAAGGGTAAATGGAATGTACCTACGAGTACTTTGACACGACATCCTTTCCATTTAATCACAAATAATACTATGAATACACTCTGCTATATCCATGTGAGTAATACTAGATATAATACTTTTTAAATGACTGAACATTTGGGTTAAACTTGATAATAAATACTGGCTGTAAACAAGGAATGATCAAAATAACATTAGAAAGAATATATGAATCATTTTCAATGTGTATTCGTCAGCCTAAGCATAAACTTCATCATTTCTTTTACCTTTCAGAAACCAAAGTGATATTTTCAGAATTTAAGGATGTCGTGCTGTCATATAATTCTTTAAATTTTATATCATCTTCATCATATTCATAATCATGTTCTTCGCTTGATGAAGATAAGTTTGTTTCCTTTTTCAGAGCATCTTCAGAAGTCTTTGCATTTTGGTTGTTTGTAGATGTAGTTGAATTATATGGATAGTCGCTGTCGTAATAATAATCAGTTTCTTTTTTACTGAAGGTACTAGGTACACGGATTTCCTTTGGAAACTGTTTTCTTGTTTCTTTTTTGCCTTCCAATTTTTCTTTGCCACCCCAAACGAGGAAATAATCGGTACTGTCATAAAGGCTGGTCGTACTGGAATCTTGGCCAGTTTGACGCTTGCGTCTTCGGTTAAATGTCTCAGGGGAGTTTTTAGACAAGTTTGAATCCGTATAGGTTTTATTGTATTTCCGTTGCAAACTTGCAATAAATGCTTTTTTCAGATTTTGTAGACATCTAAAATTGAAGAAAAAACAAGATAAACATAATTAAAAAGTTATTTTTTAAAATGTTTATTAAAATACGGTGGCTATAAACAAGGAATAATTAAAATAACTATTAGACGGAGAGCTGGCTACATAAAAAAAAACCTTATCATCGTTACATCCCAACTAGCACACTTATTTTATAATTTTTAACTTTCGGTACTATTCTGTTTTATAATTACTTTATTACTTCTCTTCAAAAAACATATATTTTGTTGTATTAAAATTGCAAGTGAAACATTTTAGTTTTTAAAATGATTTTGCTTTATAAGTTAGTCGTAAGAACGTTCTTAAAGCAAAAATACGGAACAGTCTGACGACAAATTTTAATTCTGTTTTATAAACGTTTATACAATGTATTTTATACGACATTTTACCTTACTGAACAAATTTGTTTTATAATAAATTTGTACCGCTGTTACTCGACACAAGGTCATTCGTTTGCGAACATATATAAAATTGTTTTATTAAAGTCATGCGAGATATTTATAAAATTATTTTATAAAAGTTTTCTTTCTGATATTATTGCTGACAACAGCATATATTACTCAGACAATACCTTTAAAAAATGGTTATATAATTAATACAAACACTGTCATAATAAAAACCTAATGGAATAATTATAAAACAAAAAAATAATTCTGATGACACAAAAGCATATGATAATTCATTTATAAAACGTATAGACATTTTTGCACGCCATTACTTTCTACTTTGATCTTGTCATAATATACTACAGTTTTATCATGTCAAAATCTCAAATTATTAAAAATAATAAAAAACATAAAAGAAGTGGTGCGTTTTACAGAAGGGCAAAAAAGTGTTACCAGAATATCCTAGCTATCGAAGTTCGTGAAACAGTTGATCTCTCTGTAAAGGAAGAAGACTCAAGTGAACAAAACGTTTTCTCTTCAATTGCTGATGAACGAAGTAGTTCCACTGAAAATGATGCTTTTATTAACGAGGTTCAGAAGAGAGATCTCGAAGAAGAAATAAATAACTGGGAAATAGAGCTAGATGAATTACGTGAGGATGAGGAACATTCTGAGGATATAGTCAATGCAGAAGAGAACACAAAGCTTGTAAACAATATTAGAACGTGGGCTGTGTCTTTTAATGTACTACATGTGGCGCTAAGGGCTTTATTTAAAAATATAATATAAATGATCGCTTTCCTAATATGCTTCCCCAAGACCCTAGAACTTTTAAGCTTCAAATAGCTTTCCGTTAAAATATCCTAAATAGAATAATAATGAGGTTAGGTTTCTTACATATTTTTTTTTATTATATATTATATAATAAAAAAATTATTTATATTATATAAATATTATTTATATAACGGTTGCAACCGGAGCAATTAATCAACATAGATACTAACCGTTTTGTTAATATTTTATAAGTGTTTTATATAAAACAATTAATTTGAATATGCGTCATATTTACTCCTGGGCTTATGCGCCACCTGGAGGGACGCGAACGTATGAAAACGAAAGCAAAAACCTATTGAGAGATATCAGAGCCGGAGTTAGGTAAATTTCTTTTACCCTTGACCACTATGTATATGTAAAATAGACAAAAACACAGGATATTAAGATGCAGGAAATTACGTACATACACGGTGTCCCAGATAAGAATGCACAGTGTGCATTGCACACTACAGGGATCTCATAAACCAAAAGAGTTACAAAGATGATTAAATTAGAGAAAAGTTGTGCCTTGCTGAATCCTGCAATATGATGTTTTAACATTTTTAAAATTCCGAAGATATTTGGGAAACACCGAATTTTCCCGATTTCAATCTTATTTTCTTCTCATTCTATTTGAAAAGATATGCGACAATGCAATTTTCACATTCCCATTGCTACTTTTCCTGCTCTACAAGTTGATGTTATTAGATTTTCAATCTGACGTTTTGTTTTTTTCTTAGCAACCATCAAGATTTGTTTCTTAGCAACCATTCAAAATAGACCTATCAACCCTTATATCATTAAATTCGTCTCAATGAGCTCTATCGATATTCATCAAAATATACAGGGCTTTCCATTTAAAAAATTGAAATACCACGTGATATCTTTTTTATCTATCCGTTACTTTACGGACACAGTGTATATTATGTACCGACTGTAAACAAGACACACCGAAAACTGTGCGATTTTTATTTGTACGTTAAAAGGTAAAGAAAATGCACGCATTTTTATATGTAATTATTAGCGATTTCAAAAATATATGCAAAATTTGTGGACTTTTAATTGTGAAAAACAAACATTGATATTACATCAAAAACTTATTGGCATTTAGAACAAAAATAAGCATTACCATAGGAACATAGGAAATTTTTATTTCATTTTGTGAGTACGTTATTATTATTAGTATTGCCAATATTGCAACACGAAAATTGACACATGTCAAGCATAAAAAAAAAGTTTAATGATGTTAGTGCAAAAGCCCAATAAGAAAGTTTGTGAAATATTATTTTGAAAGTGGCGGCACGCTGTATGTCATGACAGATTCCTTCATTTTGTATCTTATCAGTATCAGTAAGGCCAAGACTTCAACTCGAAATTTGACAAATGCATAGAGTTAGTGCGAATATTTCATAAGCTCTTTTATCTACACGTATATAATATGGTTATTTTTTTCTGAAATACGCCCCTGTTTAACTAAAACATTGCTTATAATTTAAATATTTTATAAAAATTTCTTAAAGATCAAAAACATTTTATACAAACACCGAAGGTGATAAAAGTATTTTATAACATGGAAGCCATTGTTTTCGTTGTTTCGACTTCACCTTCCGACGGCCATTTTTAAACGCATTACAAAAAATCATTTTCCCACAATAAAACGCCACAACTCTATAGTCTAAGTATTTATATAGTGGTCTAGGATGGATCCTTTAGGGTATTTTATTACAGTACAGGCCAAATGAAAGAAAACACGAAATAGTATTTTTGATTCTTTCTCTTAAAACTCAAAAAGAGATAACATATTTAAGGCGCTTGAAAATTTTGCTATTTAAATACCATACATTATACAAAAAAATTTCCTCGCAGTAAAATATCAATCCTCAGATGGCATACCGAATTTCTTACCTAAGATTGGCATGGTCAGAGCTAAATGTAATATGGCTGGTGTATATTCAGACATAACTATATATTATGTTTTTAATATTGAGACAGAAGACGCGATATTTAGCTTTTTTGTTCTCAGAACGATGATTAAAAAATAAATTATGCTCTGTGGGAACAACAAAAGCATCCTTTCATAGTGTTCGTCAAAGCAAAATCGGAACCGCTGGTATAACAAAATAACTTTTATAAAAGTGTTTTATTCTAGCTCGATAATTGTTGTATAATTGTCATAATTTTGGTAAACTATTTAACTCTGTAACTGTTTTCAATAAAAGTGTTTTGTAATTGTTCCAAATAATATTTTATAATAATTTTGTAAATGTTTATGTAATTGTCCGGTAAAAGCTATGAAAACTATAATTAAACAAATTAAAGAACTAAATTGCTGCACAAAAGTGCGCCCTTTTTGGGTTTATAAGCATTGTATAAATGTTGTTGAAATGTTTATCGCAATACTGTTATTTTATAAAAATAGTTCTGTAAACGTTCTTACGACATTTTTAAAACAGAAATTGTTAGTTGGGATGGCTAATTTTTCTTGTGAAATATCCTTTTGTGTAGCCATTATGAAATAGTCATGTTTGCCCGTGTGCGATCCCGGGACTTATTGCGGGGGCGGTCAACCGAAAGGGCGAAATATTGACACTAAAAATATTCTAAGGTACACGAGTTATAATTGCCAAATAGCTTTTATTTATTATTAAGAAACGTGGAAAATTGTTGGCAGACAATTTTCTCATGGCTAAAATGCCGGCAGACAACACGAAAAGGGCATGAAATTTTGATAAAAAATGATTAATTTTTTAATGATATTCGCACAAATCAGTAATAAAATAAACTACTTTGAAATTAAAATGACAGACACATCTATCACTGTCAAGGATTTTGTCGTTGGACAGACTATACTTGCATTCAATCTTTGAATAAGAAGACTAAGGAAGGAGCATATCAAAAATCTTAGGTCCACCGCGATAGGGCTCAAATATGGCCGACTTAAATTCCGGTTTATCAGTGCCGTTCTAATTTTATTTAAAAAATATAAAACTATGATGTCGGGTAGACTCAATAATTTTTTTTTTATTTTACGTTGTGAATAAATGTTGGTAGTTATTAAAATTATTATAAAAACATATTACTATAATAAAAATAGATAAGTTTTAATAATTATTTATTAACACAAACATCCGATACGCTACTGAAGCAGGTAGGTCAAATTGACGTATCTAAATTCTTTAACATCTAATCTTTGACAAGTAGTAAATAAAAGCAAAAATGCAAGAAAAAATATATAACTAGTTAATTTAAGTAAATTTCATAAATGATCGGTTTACTACACGTATGTATATTATATAGTCACTTACTAGCGAAAAGTTGTTCCATTATTTCACTCGATGTTTGTCGAGATCTACTGCACGCTACACAACCAACTAATTTAGAGTCTTTTTCGATAAATCGCGATAGTGTCACTGTTAATTTAATTTCTGCCACAATTTCCATCTAGATTTACTACCTTTATACAACTATCAGTAGTAGAATAAATAATAAATAACATAAAATAAGCTCCGCAACAAATACACAACATTTCAAATCAAATTCAAATGTGTCAAATGAATCGTCAAACAGAACTGTCAAGGATCCCCACCCTAGAGTCCTTTTTCCGCCCACCATGCATGAATACATGGATAACATTATGCTCCTTCCTTAGTCTGCTTATTCAAAGCATTCAATAATAGGAATTTTTTAAATTGAAAAATATGTCAATTTCACAAATGTCAAAGTCAACATTTGTAAATTTTCAAGAAAAAAAAGAAAACCTAAAAAACTGACGTCAATAAATTGACATAATTTGTCAAAGTTTTTTGATCGAAAATATTATGTTTTAGCAACGGCATCAATTACTAATCATTAAATCCTCTAAGAATGCCAACTATTTCAATAATTCTGTATCGCTCTGTATATGGATCTTTGCTAATATACAGGGTAGTCCGAACTAGTGATGTGTCGGTATTTTAGTAAAGCGATTTTGGAACGGTATTTTTGTGTAACGTCGTGTCGCGCTCCACAACGAATCAGGAACCTGTTACTGAAGAACGACGATCATAATGACGACAAAATTAAAAATTATTTATAATTTGTAAATAAATTACTTATAATCGCACTTGAAATTAGCTCGAACCGTAATAACCGCATAGCGGCGTGTTTAGCTCCAGCCGTCGCGATTTCGTCGGCCGCCAACAGTAGTATCTGGAACTGGTATGTCCGTAGCACTCCAGCCGTCGCGCTCCTAGAGTTATAGTTCCCTGTCGCGAACAGAAGTAACTGCTGTAATTGGGCATCGACGCTCGACCTCGGCGGCGACCTACTTCGCTCCAGCCGTCGCGCTCCTAGACTTTTAGTTCCCTGTCGCGAACAGAAGTAACTGCTGTAACTGATTATCGACGCTCGACCTCGGCGGCCACGTATTTCGTTCCAGCAGTCGCTGGAGCGCTTCTAGGGTTTCGGTTTTGCCTGTCGCACATTTGGTCGGTTACTATTGGCGTTGGTGCTTCCGTCGCCGTCGCTACATTACTTTCGAAATAGCTATTTTTGGTATGTACTAGGCATGGTATAAAATAGTGTTGTTTGAAAGATGAAACGCAAAAGCAAATAAAATAAAATAAAAATATTTTATTTGCTTTTATACATTTATATAAGTTTTATTGTTTTTATCTATTTTTAAGGTTAGGTTAGACCAATAAATAATTTTTTTGACAGTGGTTTGGACTTTGTTCTTGATTTTAACATTAAATATATTATATTGCAATACACATAAATGTGAGCCGTTCATTTTATTTAAACGAAAATTAATAAAGAAAATTAAAAAAATAACAAGGAATGTCATCGATTTTCTAAAAATAAGATAGATTGGCTATACACAATTATAAACTCGATATTTGGAAAATGAGTGAAATACAAATATAGATAAGTTAGATATATTTTTAACGAGGACCGCAACAGTTTGGAAGTCGGAACCTCGGTTACAAAATCGCGGTATTTTTCTGTAACGGTCGCTATTATAACGCGACTCACGTGGAACCGGTATTCCCATCACTAGTCCGAACTGTATTCCGGAAACTTCGGCAGCATATTCTACACATTAAAATAAGTAAAAAAGTTCGTATAAATGTATGTCCTAAAATGCTTAGTTTCGGAGATACAGGGTGTAGAAGATTCATTTTTATTTCAATTTTTTTCAAATAACTTCTGAAGTAACGTCAATATTGGGATGAAAATTGTTGTCTGGGAGTTTTTTGACATGAGAAATTTTATTTTTATGTCAATATGACTCCTACTTGTAAAGGGTGCTACCTACATATTTTTAACTGGTTTAAAGATTAATAACTTTTTGTCCGTACCTGTATGAAACTACTGAGTAAAAGAATATACATTTACGTTTCTTATGTAGAAAAGGTCTCTTGGTAAAAATCGTTACGAATAATGGTTCTTGAGATATTTGGAATTGAAATTATCAAGACCTGTCATCATTGACATAAATTAAACATGTTAACTGAATAGTTATTAGACTGAACTCATAAATTTGAAATGTTTTTGTGTCAAAAGTTCAACAGAAACTGTTTTCTCGTCATTTTTTCGCAGACAAATTTATGATTAATTTAAAAAAATAAAAATTTCTCAAATTTATTTTTTCAGTACTATACTCACCGTGTTTATTTTTTGTCAATAATGACATGTATTGACTATTTCCATTCTAAATATCTTGAGAACGGTTGCTCGTAGCGATTTTTACCAGAAGACATTTTTTGCGTAAAAAGTTACGGATATGTTTAATTTTTCATTCAGTAGTTTTATACAGGTACGGACAAAAAGTTATTGCTCTTCAAAACAGTTAAAAAATATGTAGGTGGCGCCCTCTACAAGTAGGAGTCATATTGAGATCAAAATCGAATTTCTCATGCCAAAAAACTCCCAGACGCCAATTTTCATCAAAATATTGATGTTACTTCAGAAATTATTTGGAAAAAATCAAAATAAAAATGCAACTTCTACATCCTGTATCTCCGAAACTAAGCATTTTAGGACATACATTTATATAGTAAATGCCACGAATGTTTGGGAGTGATTCTTCGGTCGCTACCATGTAAACTAATCTGTTCAAGGTCACATAAAACTTAATTCCAGTGCCGTGGTGTTTCAAGTCATATAATAATCAATATATAATCTGTTGTTTATGTTTATGTGCATGAAATTTTAAATTTATTATTATTGATGAATATTACAAAAATATTTATTAGTAACAAATTGCTTAAAAAAGGATTCCAGCAAACTGTCAAAGTCTTGTCAAAACATCTATTTGGTTATAAATATAAACTGGAATGCCCCATTGGTCGCACTGCAAGCACACCAATGGACTGACGCACAAAAACGGATCAATCAAAGAAACGCGATATAGTATCGTCTTTGTCAACCACGCTAACATTTTAGAATAAGTAGGAGGAGCGCAGGCAGATGATTAGACGGGCCTTTAAAAACCTACGTCTGCGGTAAAAATTTACGTTTTTAATGTAAAAATGATTGCGCGCGTGTCGATTCTAACTTCATCAATCCCAATCGAATCACTCCCAAACATTCGTGGCGTTTACTATACGAACTTTTTTACTTATTTTTATCTGCAGACTATGATGCCGAAGTTTCCGGAATACAGTTCGGATCACCCTGTATATGCAATACTAATAAAACTTTTAGTTTTGTAATCGAGGGCGCGATTTTTAAATTCATTGTTGCCAACCATAGGCATATTCGGCAGACTGACTAACTGGAATTTAAATTTTCCGCTGGGGAATCCGGTGGTAGCTCTGCTATAAAAAATGTCAAGTTGCCACATTTATTTATTTATTCCCTGACATTGTCATTCGTTTTGACACTTTAGTTTTATATTACGAGTTTTTGATTCAAATGAATTGTGTTGGGATATTTTAAGCTTAAAATTTTTTACTAGGTAGCACCATAAAATGGTAGCACACCTTGCAGTCGAACATTGTTCTTTTTAGAATCTCTTTTAGTGCGAAGTGTACAAGGTAGCTTAATAGCCGCAAAAAACTCATCGCAACATTATTAGAATATTTTGAACGGGACAGCGGTAGTGATGGCCTTTTATGTGCCTTAAGTGCTGTTAAGAAGGTGAGTTTTGTTGATGTAAATAATAAGTGTTTATATATTTGTAATTAATTTATCTTTGTTTTCTAGAATATTTTAATTAAAAGAAAATATGTAAAAGTGGGCAACGCTGTGCCGGTCAAACGTAATCACGTGACTAAAATTTATTTGATATAAACTATATACGTACTTTCTATAAACTGCAGATTTTTTAAACATTATATTATCCCAACTGGTTTCATGTGGCTGATGTATTATAAATACATCTGAAAGAACTATGAATTCGTAGTTTTGAGCTTCAAGTTCCATGATATGGGAGACTTTATTCCATCCAAAACCCAAAAATCTCTCGTCGTATTTAACTACGTTACTTTTAACCACTACATATGGTTCGAAATCTACCTTCCAGTTAACCTGTAATAGTAAATTGTTGAAGATAAAAGAATATAATAGTGCGTAATATTTATGTGTGTGGTCACTTGAGAACAACAAAACCGAAATTAATACATTAATGAGAAAAAAAACACATATTTGAAGGAATAAAATGCATATTAAATCGATTTTTAGGTAAAAACGTATCAGATCTAAATAATGAATGATTATATAAGGTGAGTGCAAATATTTTTAGCGCTGGTAGATTTCGATAAAAGGAACATATTTTCTCTTTATCGTTTTTCAAATCAGTTCAAAACATCCGAGTTATTTTACAACCGTCTTCATCAGCTGTTTGATTGAAATTTAATCTAAAGAAATACTTAATAATAAATATGCAAGTATGTACATCCGGGTGCGTCTCACAAGTGGCTCACCCCTATAACTTTTTATTTCTTCAGATAAAAAAAACGAGATTTGGTATATTAGTATATGACATAAATTAGGATTGATTGACGTATTCAATTGTTTTCGGTCACTTCCTGTTTCACCGGAAATGACTACAACTTTTGATTTTTAAATGGCACCCTCGGTAGTTTTTTACTTTATTCGATAGAAAATGACACTCTGAATTGAATGACATATTATTGTATGTAAACTTTTGACATATTCGCTCAAAAACAAATTGTATTTAAAATCTCAATCTAGAGTGCCATGGCTGTGTTAAAAACACTAATTTTTAAACAAGGAGCCTTGGAAAAATAGATTTGATCGTCTAATGTTTTAGTGTCTTGTCCTGGCCGGTTAAAAGATGACCAAATCGTATTTTTAATCATATCTCAATTTTTTAAAATGGAACGCGGGTGGCTCATTAGCATATTTGGAAAAAGCATTTTTTACGAATAATTTGATACAACACACTTGGTAATTGGAGTCAAATTGTCGTTATGAACCGCAGGTTACAATTTGAATTAAACTCTATGGGAAAATGTCAAAAGTTGACATATGATATGTCATTCTATTCAGAGTGTCATTTTCTATCGAATAAAGTAAAAAATACCGAGAGTGCCATTTAAAAATCAAAAGTTGTAGTCATTTCCGGTGACACCGGAAGTGACGAAAAACAATTGAATATGTAAATCAATCCTAATGTATGTCATATACTAACATACCAAATATTATTGTTTTATCTGAAAAAATAAAAAAGTTATAGGGGTGAGCCACCTTTGAGACGCACACGGTATATCAAAAAGAAAATAAGAAAAAGCCTTTATTAAAATAGACAAAACAATATAACATTCGTATTTAGTAAGTAAAAAAAACCAATAATAATTCTTGTTACAAAAAAAAATAGTAAGCACGGAAATATAACTTTTAGATATTGCCGTTCTGGCTAAACTGTACAAAGTCGATTTTTGTTAGATTGGGCATTTAAATTTTTCACGGGATTTAATATCGGAATTTTCGGGATAAACATACACCGGGATCCCGGTTTAGTTTGGTTTGGAAACCGTAGTTACATTTGATGACATTTAAGAAATATAAATAAGTGGTAGCAAATTGCTAACTAATATCTTATTATTCACAAAAAAAATAAAACTTATGAAATAAGAACTATTGTTACAATAATTATTATTCTAGTTCAGATAAATATACCTGATATGGCTCCAATTCTTTTTTCCATTTTTCATAGTCAGTAGGTCCGTGTCCCGAATACCAAACGTCAGAAAGAAAAGGTTTAATTTTCTTGTCATTAAGATAATCAATTAGCTGAATTTTATTTAACGGTATATCAACGTTATTGCCGGCAACTTCAAAAGCTGGTACAATCAGGGCCTAAAATATTTAATTAATAAGAAATTAATTTTCAGTATCTTGTCAAACTTTCAAAAAGAACACAAATCTAAAATATCGTCGGAAATCCAAATGAACTCTTTATTATGACGGCTCAAACAGTATACAGAAAGTAGAAAGCAGAGATAAATGAAACAAGTTTAGATCGAAAGGTGCCCATAAGGACAATGTAAACACTATTTGACGCTATTCTTGCAACGGTCGCGACCCAAAGCTTTTGAAATTTTCGGAGCGGTTCGGCTTTTTCCGGAATTATATCGCCAAATATTGTTTATTCAAATTTATTATTAATTTCTTTTAATTTTATAAATAAAATACAGTGTGTTACACAAGAAACTTTATTTTACATAAGGACACGCATGAAATACCTATGAAACATTGGAAACCGATGTTATACCACGATCCACGATGGTTTTTGCAGTTCACAGCACAGCTTTTTTTTCACAATTATCACGGGTTAGAGTAAATAAAACTTAAATTAATCTCACAAGATGGCAATAATTACTGTGAAAATGGACGCTTTAATAACTTTTCGGAATATTTTCAATGAGAGCGGTTTATATTTTGAAAGATTTTCTAATTTTTGAAGATTCTGACTTTGACAAGAGATATGGACAAGAGAAAATTATTTCTGTTTTTATTTGCAGTTGTTCTTAGCAACCGCTATAGCAGCGCCAGATCGCGTACAACGGTCGCGACCCAAAACAATTTCATTCCAATCTAAATTTATTTCCTTTATTTATGGTTGCTAATTCATCATAGCTACATATTTCTCAAAAGTTTATCTGTTATCATAAATGTCTCAAAAGTTTATCTGTTATCATAAACTTCACAAAAGTTATTTTGTATTTTAATAGAAGTAATTCTACAATCTTTATTGCTAATCTACAGAACAAGTCTACGGAGGGCGTCCATTAGTGAGGAAATCAAGGGAGGGGGGATTTTAATATTACCATTGTGATTTTAGATTACAATCTAAACATTCTCAAATACTAGTATTTACTAGTCTTAACAAAAATGACGCAAGTAGTGTTTTTTAAAATAAATCCAATACAAATATATTTAATGTACTCAAAATACCAATTTTGAAAGATCTAACGTGTGATTAGGGGTGGAGGAGGGGGTCGAGAAATCTCATGACATATCACTAGAGGAGGATGGGGGCTAAAAAAATCCTCAAAAATGCTTCACGTAATTTTAGGACGCCCTCTGAATATTCTATAAAAATAAAATAGGGGTGAATAAAACCAAAATAGTGTTAAATAAACTCGGGAATAAATTACATGTTATTTGAAAGATATTTAAAAACAACACGATCATGTAAAAAAAAATTATCTTATTATCTCTTACCTTTTGCTTCAAGTCGCCCATGCTCCTTATATTATCCTTCAGTATTTCAAATAAATTTTTCATAGGTATGAAATCAATATCAACCAAAAATACAAAGGGCGTATTGACATTACTTAAACCCGTATTTCTTAAAATATTGATGGGATACAAATTCTAAAAACAATAAATAAATGTCACATAATAGTATATCATTTTATTATGAGTAAAAATGATACCTCTACGTTTGACATTACAGGCGAGACACAAAAAGTCTTTTTTACTCCGAATAGAACAAGCTTTTTTTTCAAACGTCACGAATAATTTTCTAAACAGTTTCAAACATTGCAAATAATATGTTATAAAAATACTTAAAAGTAATACCATATCTTGTAAGCACACACACACACAAAACATCCCCCTTTAGAACTTTTTCTTTAATAACCATAGTAAAAAACGGGAGTAAAAGACTAACCGTGCGAACAAACACGAGAGGCGCCACCTGTCATTAAATGGTGTCAAAAAAGGCGAAAATTTAATCCCCTAATTTTGCCACAAGAGGTCGCGCTTAACTATTTTGAATTTTAATTCAATTTTCATTGTTTTCAAACTATATTACTAGATTTTGTTGTATTTTGTGAACGTATAAATGTTTTCTTAGTATAAAGTTGCATTATATTAATTTAAATTATATTACATACATATTTAAAATTAAAATATTATATGTCAGTTGCCATCTAAAATGTCATCTTGATAACATAAAGTTAGTTATTGTCAGAGAGATACATGCCCTAGACACTCAATGGTAATTTTATAGAACTCCAAATTTAGTTTCTTCCGCATCGCCAGACGGCGCAAAAGACATTAAAGTACAGGTTTCTAATTTATATATGAAGATGACATGACAGTCCCTATGTTGACTATTGTCTGTGGTCTAGTTTTTGTCTAGTTGACATCATCATGCCCTAGACACTCAATGGTAATTTTATAGAACTCCAAATTTAGTTTCTTCCGCATCGCCAGACGGCGCAAAAGACATTAAAGTACAGGTTTCTAATTTATATATGAAGATGACATGACAGTCCCTATGTTGACTATTGTCTGTGGTCTAGTTTTTGTCTAGTTGACATCATGTTGACATGTTGACAAAATGTTGGTGATCCGTCAAGTTATTTTTAAATAATTATTTTGATCATTATTTAAATAATCATTAATTCAGATATTCCTGATTTATCGGAAAGTTCGGTGATTTCAGTGATTTGTGTTTATAGTTTGTGTTTTTATTAGTTTGTGCATTCTGATATTTAGAGTCGATCATCATTTTCGTGTTAGATACTAAACTTTTTTATTAAAGTCATTCTGACATTTTAGAAATTATAAATTTATGAACCAAATAAAAAAAAAAGTTTAATCATAAATAAGTAAATACATAGTTGGTAATATATAGTATTTATAGTATTATTTTTTCTTGTGAAGTCTCCTTATGTGTAGCCGTTATGAAATAGTCATGTCTGCCAGCGCGATCCCGGAGCTTAAAGCGGGGGCGGCCAATCGAAAGGGTGAAATTTTGACACTAAAAATATTATAAGGTACACGAGTTATAATTGCGAAATAGCTTTTATTTATTATTAAGAAACGTGAAAAATTGTTGGCAGACATTTTTCTTGTCGCTAAAATGCCGGCAGACAACGCGAAAGGACACAGGCATGAAATTTTGGAAAAAAAATATGGCTCACATGCTTGCCGATTTGTGGAATGTCATATTTATTCATTTTAAAAGCCGTGTGCAGAAGGGCAGACAAAAAGATCGTGGCTAAATCAGCGGCAGACAGTCATCAAAAGCGCGATATTACTTTAGCGCTACCCGCCTTGAAAATCGAGCATTTTTTTAAAATGTTCCTTTATATTTTAGAAAACTTTGTACAACTGCCTGTTCACCGCAAATTTACCCACGATATAATTTTTTAAACCAAACCAAATCTACCATGCTTACGGTTTTACTCTATGGTTACGACCTTGTTACGACACTAAAAGAATGGATGCAAATACAGAAAAAAACAGGTGACTCATAAATCTTTCTAAAAATGTCTTGTTAAATTTTCAAACTTGAACGGTTATTTTGGACTCATTGGAAAAACGGTTAAGAGGAAATATATTTCTTTTGTCGAGATACCAGCCCTGAACATATTTGCACTTATCCAAGACTCACCCTGTAGAGTAATATCGCGCTTTTGATAACAGTCTACAGCTGATTAAGCCACGATTTTTTTCATCTGCCCTTTTGCATACGGCTTTTTAAGTAAATAAATATAACATTCCACCAATCGGCATGCATGTATGCGATTACTTTTTTTGTTAAAATTTCATGCCTCTTTCGCGTTGTCTGCCGGCATTTTAGCCACGAGAAAAATGTTTGCCAACAATTTTCCACGTTTCTTAATAATAAATAAAAGCTCTTTGGCAATTATAACTCGTGTACCTTATAATATTTTTAGTGTCAAAATTTCACCCTTTCGATTGGCCGCCCCCGCTTTAAGCCCCGGGCTCGTGCTGGCAGACATGACTATTCCATAATGACTACACATAAGGAGACTTCACAAGAAAAATTAACCATGTAACGATAATAATGTTTTTTTATGTAGCCAGCTCTCGGTCTATTACAATTAAAAAAAAATGTACATTTAAAAAATATATTGACAATATACCGATTTGGTCATCGAAACTGTGCAGTCTGGATTTTAACGTGTAAGACAGTGATGTAGACAGCATAATGGAAAATCAAATGTATTAAAAAGAAACAAAAATTGGGTCGACACATTTCTTCTATGCGGTATTGCCGAATTTTGCATCAAAATTGCACACCGCACAAGTAGGCGTTTACGAAAAATGTTGCATCTAGGGTTGGAACTTTATTTTTCACTATTACTTACATATTTTACTACAGCTGTAATCTACATATATGTATATAAAATGCTAGTGTTTATCTGGGTCGTCTCTATTGAAGTAACGACTTGCTCTAGAAAGTTGCTTTTTTTACTTTTGGCTCTTCTAAAAACTGTAGTCGCCTGATTTTTTATTTTTCATTTATTTATAAAAAATAAACAGTATTTTTTTTCCCTGATGTGGTGTCATGGCGGATGCGCCAGGCTTCAACTAGTAGATTATATTTAGTTTAGATATATTATCATTATTTCAGTAGTACATGAAAGTTTTTAAAATAGCTTTTATTTTTTTTGCTACACACATTTTCCTATAAACGTAAAAAACCGGCAACACTATATGCCGCTGGTGGTTTTGTCTCTCTGTCTGTCAACTGGTCATCTATATTATTCTCTGTCACACGCATTAAAATCTAGACCATACCATACATGGATGACCAGCAGGATATACCGGCATTAATTGAAATTTTTAGTATGCGAAAAAACACAAGAGGCACTTTTTTACTTTCATTTCTTAACATAACAAAAGAAGTTCTAAATGGGGCTGTTTTGTGTAAGTAATTATATACCGAGAAGTTATGGTTACTCTAGACGAACTGTCAGTTTAATAATATATTTTGCTTAGGCGTAAAAGCGGCTTTACTTAAGGCCTAGACGTTAAAATTACTTTTTCAGATTGTCAATTACCTCGCAAAAATTAATACTTTTGTGGAGTTTGAAAAAAAATACATTTTAACTTTCTGTACTTGTATCTTTCCTAACTGTTGGCAGTGGCAGCTCGTCAGGGTAGGCAAGGTTAGGCGGCGCCTACCCTACAATTTTGTCAGAATTTAAGCGATTTATTACATTACATTATTTACTATTAATGTTGCCAATACACAAAAATACTGTTAATACACGGTAGTGTGTTGTAATAATCAATATTAATTTAATATTTGTGGTCTTCTATATTAAAATAATCACTACCGTTGGCGTACGAAAACAAAATAATTTTGACCGTGTGCATATTGCACACGCCCTTGTTCGGCGACGATTTCTATCGCCTGTTATCAGAGTTAATGCACGACGTACGGCAGTCATCTGTATGCTTCTGTCCCTGTCTAGTTCATCGTGCGGTAGCGACGCGACGTAAGTCTGAGTTGTATCGTATTAAGACGGAGCTTAGGTGAAATCTCCGGTCGCCTTTGCACTTTGCATGTAGACGCGGGAGCTCTGTAGGTTTGGAACATTATATATGATGCGATATTTTATATGATTCATTATTCATAGTATTTAAAACTTTTATAAAGAGATTCAAAAAACATTTACAGCAAATTAGAAACATTTTTCGGGTTTGTTCAAGACTATTCAAAATGATATAACCGGTTGTATTTGAAAATACGCCATAGCACTAATAGAATCCGAAATAAAAAGCGCGTTGTTTTATTCCGTCCAAGCAGACCATACAGAAAAGTCTCAGCGTGCTATTTGAATTCGATATGATAATAAAAGGGGGGAAGTCAAAAAACTTCTTTGCGAATTTTATTTTATTTTATGAAATATTAGATAACATTGTTATACATTTAGAAATAAAGTTTGCAGATATGTCTCAATTATTTTATTTATCTATTGCTGATTCACAAAAATTTTAGATCCTATAAAAAATTTCCAAAGCATTTAATATCTGATTTATCAAACTTTTACCGCAATGATATTGATCAACATAAATTAATGAATAAATTGCAGGTATTAATAATAGATATGATAATTTTCGATTATAAAATAATTTAAGGAGAATGATCCTGGAGATACATTTCCAGAGAGTTGAAAATGGTTTGTTTTGATTGTTACTACACCATTCAATTTAATATATAAAACATAATTATTTTCTTATATGTATATGAATAAGAGAATCTGTTTTTCTTTGTAAATTTAATTGTCGATATACTTACGACTTTTTAGTTTGTGTAAATAAATAAAATAAAATAAAATCTTATGATGTACTTCATGGTACTATTATCTATCTTATTTATCAAAGTACTTAAAAATTAGCATCTGAGGAGATAAAAAAAATTATACTTGTACATTATGTCAATCATTATGTCATTACGTTGAATGCTACTATTTTTGCTTTAGTTTTGTCCTAAATATCCTTGAGCTGTATTTAATCCAGAGATAACATATATTTACGAACTGGGTTACGGTAAATTTAGGGGGGGGGGACAAATAGATGCAACTAAAAACTTGTCGCCTACCCAGTCCCACGGGTCACGAACCGCCACTGACTGGTGGTGTAAGTACGTTGGTGCTTAGAGGTAAAAGCGGCTTTATTTGTATGCCTACGCGTTAAAAGTACTTTTTTAGATTTTCAATTACCTGGCAAAAATTAATACTTTTGTGGCGTTTGAAAAAAAATACATTTTAATTTTCTGTACATGTATCTTTCCTAATTGAAATTGTAGAATTTAAAACTTTTATAGCATAAAACTTATAGTGACAAAAATACATTTCTTTTACGTCGAAAAAAAAGCTTTATTATTTTAAATACCCATCCAATTTCATATATAAAAAATACATAAAATGTCATATTAAAAGTTAATATGGTAATCGCAAAACAATTTCCGATGCAGTTTCCGACAGCGCTGCCAGATTGTGATAGATTTATGAGATGAATCTTAATTTAAAATTGACAAACAACATATTTATTATATCATTTTTTAAAGAGTTTTACGTTTTATTTTTAATTTAATAACTAATATTTTTTAAAGGACCTTTATTGTCACGTTCTCGTTCAAAACAGTTAAAAAAAAGGAGAAGCTACAAGCTCTTTGCTTTGACTGTTTAAATGCTTTGGCATATTCAACACACAATTTCAAGAAATGCAATACAAAAACTCGAAAATTTAGTTTCTTAAAAGAACTGTTTGTGCTTAAAAGTGCAATTTTTAAAAAAAGACTATGAAAATAGGCAAAAAAACGAGAATTACTCATAAATATTCAACAACACGATATTATACAAAATAATGACTGACACAAGGATACTGTCAAATAATAAAGGACAACATTGCTGAACACAGCGCAATGTGACTAACATAGCGATAATAAAATTCGGTTTGAACTAATTTTTGTAGCTTTAATCTAAATAAAATATCTGTTACAATCATTTGCTCTATAAAGTAAAATGAAGAGCTGCTCGGTATCATAAATTATACAACAAATTTAAACATTTTTGCCAAAATTTCGTTTAGTCAGGTTTATAGACTTTACTGTCAATGTCGATATGATTGATGACGTGCATCGGAGAATCTTTTGCGATTACAATAGGTCTTTATAGTCTTGGAATAAGAAGACTAAGAAGGAAGGAGCATAATGCTATCCATGTATTCATGCATGGCGGGCGGAAAAAGGACTCTAGGGTGGGGATCCTTGACAGTTCTGTTTGACGATTCATTTGACACATTTGAATTTGATTTGAAATTTTGTGGATTTGTCAGTCTTTACGGAGCTTATTTTATATTATTTATTATTTATTCTACTACTGATAGTTGTATAAAGGTAGTAAATCTAGATGGAAATTGCGTGGCAGAACTTAAATTAACAGTGACACTATCGCGATTTATCGAAAAAGACTCTAAAATAGTTGGTTGTGTAGCGTGTGGTAGATCTCGGCAAAAATCGAGTGAAATATTGGAACAACTTTTCGCTATTAAGTGACTATATAATATACATATGTGTAGTAAACCAATCATTTATGAAATTCATTTAAATTAACTAATTATATATTTTCTCTTGCATTTTTGCTTTTATTTACTACTTGTCAAAGATTAGATGTCAAAGAATTTAGATACGTCAATTTGACTTACCTGCTTCAGTAGCGTATCGGATGTTTGTGTTAATAAATAATTATTAAAACTTACCTATTTTTATTATAATAATATGTTTTTATAACAATTTTAATAACTACCAACATTTATACACAACGTAAAATAAAAAAAAAATATTGAGTCTACCCTACATTATAGTTTTACATTTTTTAAATAAAATTAGAACGGCACTGATAAACCGGAATTTAAGTCGGCCATATTTGAGTCCCATCGCGGTGGACCTAAGATTTTTGATATGCTCCTTCCTTAGTCTTCTTATTCAAAGTTTATAGTCAAAACTGGTATACTTACCCCCTCTCTAAAAACTGCATGGTAAGCTATATCACTGCGAACTTTCAGTACATGATTTTCTGATATAAACTGAATGACTTTTGCGAGTTCTGCATCCGTTATATACAAAGAAAAACTAATAGGACCAGTCCATATTTTTGCAATTTCTTCCATGAGGTAGAATCGATCGTAGGACAAATGTGTTACGTAAGTAATATCGTTATCGTCAGCTACGTATTTGAAATCTCGAAAGAATAATAAAGTTCTAAATGACATATATGGCGGATTTGTATACTTATCGCAGTCATCATCGTTCAGATGAATCTGAAATTTAAAAATATGTATACAGGCGTGGCGCCTCTCATACGCCGCGGAAGCTCCAAGGAGAACGGTAGTTTATATCGAAATGAAATTTTGGCAGCATATGTAGGTTAACTGAAAGCATTTTCTAAAAATATATAGAATTATACAGGGTGTCCCCAAAAAAGTTACATATCAAAGTTGTGTTTTTTCTAATAGAACACCCTATATATTAATTGATTTTCGGATTTTACGAAAAAAATAAAGGTGAGTTTATTAAAGAAGCATACATAAAATCTAAGGATACCATCTAAAATCTAAGGATTTTGACATACTTCACATTTTGCGAAAATGAAGAGTAACTTTTAAATTTCGATAACAGCTACCTAAATTTTAGTTGACCTCGTATAGCCTGATATTTAATTACAGTAACCATTGTATGTTAAACCAAATTGAAATTTGACCCGAAAAGTTATACAGGATGAGACAAAATTAATATGGAACATTAGTCACTTTTAAAAGCAAGTTACTCCTTTATTTTAAATGGAACACCCAGTAAATTTTTCTGGTTGACAATGGGGAATTTATATATCTTCAAAATATTATGAATGTTGCCTACCCCTCAGACAAATATTTTCCAGAGTATTTTCCTAGATATTTTAATTTTTATGATTTTGTGTCAGTAGATCTTTATTATTTGAAAAAATCGAGGGTGGCTTTGATATACCTTTCATTAATTTAACAAAAATTAAAGGATTTAGAGTAAAATACTCAACGGTAATAAAAAGATACACGTTTAAAACATATTAATTATTACAGAATGAAAACTAGATATAAACTTATAATTATGTGACAAAAATTAGCTAGATTAAATCAAATGCTCAAAATGCTCACTTTCCTGTTAACTGCATCTGATGATTTCTCTCATGTCAACAATTAGTTCAGTCATTGGGGATTTTTGCTTGGAAAAAAGTCCGGAAGTTTTGCAACTTTGCAGGTTTATAGGTTTTGGGGTCCCTAACTAAAATCCATAAAATGCACATTTCCAGACTAGCAGCCGGCGTCGCCATCTTGCCAAGATGGCGCCCAAAATCGGTATTTTATGAATATCTCGAAGACTATGCGTTTTTCACGAAAATTTGAAGAGAGCAAAATTAAAGAGAATAAAATTTCATATAAAAAAGGTTTTACGAAAATTTTCGCTAAAGTCAACCGTTTAGGCACAAAATCCCTGGATTGTCCAAATGTAGATTAGGGTTCACTAAAACTAGTTTTAGTTTAGTTTCTTCAATTTTGTCATAAAACAGTGGCGTATCATTAATTCGCTCATTAATTTATGAATAATTAATTTTAATTACTGAAAATGTGTACTTGTTTCCACACCACTCAAGAGGTAAAGTATATGGCGCGTTTATTTTAACGTGGTCTCCCCGGAGGCCTACTCCACTAGATAAATTAAAAACTTTAACTTATCTGCACAAGCCCGACGGATCTGGCTCACTGATGTTAAAGTCGATCGTGTCTGCTGTGCTGGGCTCATCAGGGTGGTCTCTCAATACGTCCAACTCTTCATCTTCCGTCTCCAGAGGGATATCTACTAGTGATGGGCAAAACTGTTATTTTTAGATAACAGTTGAAACTGTTATAGTTATTTATAAAAAACAGCTTAAAATAACAGCTTAAAAATAACAGGTTTCTTTATTTTATTGCTAAATATCTGAAAGAGCATGAGGCGGTCACCGCCAGGCGTATTAACGCAGTTGCAAGTTGCAACAATGACATGCTCGGTGGTAGTATTTCCAGGGTGTCAAAACATTTCTAAATATCGATTGTTATCTAAAATACCTCTCTAAAAACGGCCCTTGTTTACATATAAGCGCTGTTTACAAATCGCGATATAAAAAAGCCAAAATTCCGCCACTCGTCTATACGTATATATTCGGATCTACCTAAGCCTTGCCCCTCGATCCGCGTAGATCCTGAATTGCGTAGCAGTGTACAGGGTGCATCTCACTCGACGGGCGAGAAGCTCTTAGTTATAATTTTACCATTTGCGGTCAAAAATAGCAATATAAGAAAATGTGTAGTATATTCTTCATAAGTAAACCAACTACACACTAGAGTTCGAATTAATTTTACACTTAAACTAGCGTGTACCCGCGACTTCGTTCGCGTCGAATTAATAATTTGTAATAGTGATGATGAAGCAAAGCAAGAATTTCTATTAACATACAAACTGGATAAAATTTTCTCACATTTGCCAAAAATAAGCTTTAAACGTCGAGCAGTTTAAGCAGAATCATGGTTAATCAATTACTCAACTTTTTGGAACACCCTGTAATATTTTTTAAAAAATTTCAAAATATGTAAAAAAACAAAATAAATTATGCGTGTCCAAGCGTTTTCCCGAAAGACTAACCGTTTTTTAAATAACAAATATTGTAATATTTGAGGGGCGTTTTCACCCTCTTGGAATTTGAGATTCGAGAAACCCCTCCTTATCGAACCTCAACCCCACAGTCAATCTGTTTGCCAAAAATCAGCTTTAAACGTCAAGCAGTTTAAGCAGAATCGTGATTACTCAATGGTCATATTTTATGAAACACCCTGTATATATTTTTAAAAAATCTTAAAATATGTAAAACAACGAAATAAAATATACGTGTTTAAGAGTTTTTTTCCGAAAAACTCACCGGTTTTTAAATAAAAAATATTCTAATATTTGAGGGTGGTTTCACCCCCTTAGAATTCGAGTTTCGAAAAATCCCTTCTTATCGAACCTCTACACCCTAAAGTCGTTATTCTCCAACCTGTTTCGAACTTCCATCGACAATCGACCAATGCAGCCAGGGTTCCTTTCCCACTCCGATTATCTCGACCGCCACCCTGTTATGCTCGTAACAGGTTGAAAAACAACGTATCTAAAATGACTGCTTCTCCAACCCGTTGCGAGCCTCCATCGACAATCGACCGATGCAGCAGCGTTCCTTTCCCACTCCTGTTATCTCGACCGCTAGGCGTTATGCTCGGAACTGTTTCAAAAAACCTGCTTCTTTTATATCCTATTATTTTTAAGCTGTTGTTTAATACGACCGTCAACGGCATCGACCGAAGCAGCTACGTTCGCCGTAGCGCATTCCCCACTTCGTTGTCCGTTGTCTCGCCGCCTGTATCGATGGTTGACAAAATAACATGTTTTCCATCCATACTAGTTGTTTTTTGGAATTGCTTCGAGCCGCTTAGAATTTCGTAGCGGTGCAGAGCGCCGACTTCGTTTTTCGTTTCACGAGCGGCCGATCTCTATGTGTCGTTATTTTATATCTGTTATTTTTTAGAAGTAATAACGGTTGCGTTATGTTATTTCTAAATAATTGTTATAAAATAACAGATAGTTAAATAACAACCCATCACTAATATCTACAGGCAAGTCCAACTCCTCTTCATCGGATTCGTCGAGTGACACTTCAGTGACGTTGTCACAGGATTACCCATTGCAGTATGCATAAATCATTTAACATTTTAATCCTGCTTTTCTGCATCCGCAGGCTTTACCATAGTGGTTGGTTTTGCATTTACAGGATAAAAATGCCAACAGGGATTTCGGAGCTGGATCTTTCAACGTTGTGACTGGAGTAATGCCTGTTTTTGTTTTCTTCCAACCCCATTCTTCGGTATCTTTGGTACAACCAGATCAATGCTGAACCTGGTGGTAAGTTCGCAATGAATGCTGTCCAGCACGACAATTAATTATTCATAAATTAATGAGCGAATTAATGATACGCCACTGTTTCATGACAAAATTGAAGAAACTAAACTAAAACTAGTTTTAGTGAACCCTAATCGACATTTGATTTCGGAAAATCGACTATACATTATATATCATATTTTACGTAAAATTGTAAAATTTCCAGGGATTTTGTGCCTAAACGGTTGACTTTAGCGAAAATTTTCATAATACCTTTTTTGTAGGAAATTTTATTCTCTTTAATTTTGCTCTCCTCAAATTTTCCCGAAAAACGCATAGTTTTCGAGATATTCACAAAATACCGATTTTGGGCGCCATCTTGGCAAGATGGCGGCGCCGGCGGTAAATCTGGAAATGTGCATTTTATGGATTTTAGTTAGGGACCCCAAAACCTATAAACCTGCAAAGTTTCAAAACTTCCGGACTTTTTTCCAAGCAGGCCCCTTTTTTGATCCCCAATGACTGAACTAAATAGTTGGTCGAGTTTTGTAAACACTGTCTTTAACATATCCCCATAAAAAAACCAGACTAGATAAAATCAGGAACATTTAAGTATTCTATTAATTGATGAATGCACACTACATTCACCAACTAATAGAAGCATATCAATTCTCTCTGATGTAGTATAAGTTTGCATTTTCGGCAAATTTCTGAGAATTTTTTTTTGTTTTAACTGACACAAAATGATAACTAGTTGTTAAAGTTGGACTAATTAGGGTGGCTGCAACGACGCCCCGTAATCCTGCTGTTGAAACATAACAATTGATTTTTATATATAAAAACCAACTGTTATGTTTTAACAGCAGGATTACGGAATGTAGTTGCAGCTGGTTGCAGCCACCCTTAGACAGCTATGTTGAAGTAACATCAGATATATCACAGCCACCTAGATTTTATCAAATAATAAAAATCTACTCAGATCAAATCATATGTAAATGAAAATATCTAAGGAAATCTTTGTTTGAGGGGTAGGCAAACTATGTAGTATTTTGAAGAGACATGAATTCTCGATTGAATATCGGAATAATATACTAGGTGTTTCATTTAAAATAAAAGAGTAACATGTTGAAAAAAAAGGTGATCAATTTTCAATATTAATTTTATCCCTAATTTAAATTTAATTTGATTTAAAGTAAGAATAGTTAGTTAGTGCAACTACATATTAGGCTATACCGGTTAAATTCCAATTTAGGTAGCTTTTATTCTAATTTAAAAATTGTTCTTTATTTTTAGAAAATGTTAAATATGTCAAAACCCTTACATTTTAGTCATATACTTCTCTTATAAAACTCATCTTTATTTTTCTCCCAGAATCCGAAAATCAACTAATTTATTGGGTGTTCCATTACAAAAAACAAAACTTTGATATGTAACTTTTTTGGGACACCCTGTAGAACTCTCTATATTTTTAAAAAGTGCTCTGAATTAACCTACATATGCTCACAAAATTTCATTCCAATACAAACTGTTGTTCTCCTTGGAGCCTCCGAGGCGTATGAGAAGCGTCACCTTGTATACAGGGTGTCCTATATTCTGTGTACATAGAACTACTACGTATTTTTGGAATTAAAATAAAGACTTTAACTCTCTGTAGCTACAAAACAAAGCAAAATCAGACCTATGTTGATATGAAAAATAAATCTTACTTTTACGCGAGAAATTTCCCCACGAGAGATGGCACATGTTTTTTGAAACACCCTGTAGCTATCAAATCGAATTTTAAACAACTTTTAACATATACTGATATAAATGTTTTGACACTATGTAAAAAATATTTTATACTAGGTCTTGACTTACAGGTAACAATTCTTCAGACTTATTTTTCTCGCATATCTGTGGATACTCTCTAAACCAATTCCCGTTTAATTCGAAAATACCGTCAGCTAGGCCTCTAAATTTTTCACCATCCTTGGTTGTGACGTCGTATTTTTTAGGCGAATTCCAATGGACGATCTAAAAAATGTAAGTTTTTTTATTAAGTACCTAAATATGTAAAAAATAGTAAATTAATGAAGCTAAGTTAATAACGTATGATTAATGATCAATCAGGGTTGGGTAACGACACGTAGAAAATTAATTTCGTGTTGTGGTTGTTCTTTTTTTAAATTTTACAGAAAAATCCTGGTTTTATAAACTACTATACCGGGTGCGTCTTAAAAGTGGTTCATAGGGGTGAACCACTTTTGAATTTTTTTATTTTTTTAATTTTTTTATTTTTTCAGATAAAAAAAATAGATTTGGTATGTTAGTATTTGACACAAATTAGGATTGACTGACGTATTCATTTGTTTTTGGTCACTTCCTGTTTCACCGGAAATGACTACAACTTTTGATTTTTAAATGCCACTCTCGGTTTATTTCTACTTTATTCGATAGAAAATGACACTCTGAGTAGAATGACATATCATATGTCAACTTTTGACATTTTCGTTTAAAAAAATTGTATTTTAAATTTCAACCTAGGGTGCCATGGCCGCGTTAAAAACACTCATTTTTAGTGAAGGAGCCTTGGAAAAATAGATTTGATCGTCTAATGTTTTTCGTGTCTTGTCCTGGCTGGCTAGAAGATGCCCAAATCGTGGTTTTAATCATATCTCAATTTTTTCAAATTGAACAAGGGTGGCTCATTAGCATATTTGGAAAAAGCATTTTTTTACGAGTAAATTGATACCACACACTTGGTATTTCGTGTCTCAAATTGTTGTTATGAACCGCATGTTACAGTTTCAAATAAAAAATAAATCTTAATCAAGGTTAGTTTTGGGTCGAGATTTCCGTATGTAAGAAGAGTACAATGCGTTTATAATGTACTAAACAAAGAGAGGACAGTAAACACGTTGCCAAACGTATGAAATAAACCGAGAAACTGTGCACATCGCTAAGAGACGTGGAAGGGGATATAGCAGATTTGTCGCAGTTGACCGGTCGACTCAATCAATTCCTCTGTCAGTACTTAAAGTTCTAGGGAAAGGTGTACGTCATGCGTTCAGCTTCACGATTTAATAACGTCTCTAATTTGTTTATTTATTAACGAGTCGTTGTAATTTTCCCTATAGCTTGAATTTTTTTAAGTGCAAGTTAGAAACACTTGCATTTTTGGTAAAAATAAGTGAAATTGAGTGGGCGTTCGATAGTGGTCGCGCTATTAGAACTATGAATTCAAAAATGGATATCTCGAAATCTATTAGAAATAATAGATTGTAGTTTTTTCAAGAACTTTGTTAATATTTGTGCTGTATTTTCTTTGTAGACAGTATGTGAAAATCTTTATCAATAAAAAAATTACACGATTGCTGAAAATTGCTATGCTCTAAATGTAAATGGATAGATTGTTTACAAATTTTGAATGGAAAAAACAACCTTATCGAATTTTTGTTATGTAAACATATTGTAAAATATCCGATCTTGAAAATAAAAAAAAGTTTCAATGTCTAAAGTGGTTCTTGAGTTATGGCCTGTTATGTGTTAAAAAGTTGAGTTTTTAAATTATCGGGATTACTGACGTTTTCTCGTTATAAAAAAATGACACCTTAACGATATCCTTATAATTCCATTTCAGATGCTCAGAAACATGTCTAATGATTTTATCTAGTTATCTCTTGAAAAAAGTCTTTTAAAAATAAGCGGTTTGCGATTGTGATTTTACTATACTCGATAGGGAAGGGCGTATCGGCAACGCCGCAACAGCAAACCGTCGCGCGTCGCGTCGGTCGGTCGGATTTCTCTCACTCCGACTTAATGAGATCCCTATGCGATTTACTTCCACACATGTAAATGCCGACCCAAAAGTAACAGTTGCCAGCACGGTATAATTATTTTTTAACCGGCCAAGCAAGACACGAAAACCATTAAACTATCAAAACTATTTTTCCAAAGGTCCTTGATTAAAAATTAGTGTATTTAACACAGCCATGCCACGCCAGATTGAAATTTAAAATACGATTTGTTTTTAAGCAAAAATGTCAAAAGTTAATATATGATATGTCATTCTACTCAGAGTGTCATAAAACAAACCAAATCTCGCTTTTTTATCTGAAAAAAAAAAGTTATAGGTATGAGCCACTTTCGAGACGCACCCGGTATACAGGGCAAATAATTTTTTCTCTCTAAATCTATAACTTTTTGAAATATCCTGATAACAATATAAACTAAAAAGTTGTTTACTGAGATTATTTTTGCTGTTAATTTATTCACATGAATCAATATTTTAACTTCCTTTCACATACTAATACTTTTTCGTTTACATACTGAGATAAAATAATATTTATAACATACCATTGGTTTGTGCTTTGTATAGCAACTACTGCTTAATGAATTATCGCTCATTTGGGTATTCCAAAAGCACGGTAATCTATATACAAGACCAGGCGATTCCACTAAAAGTGCATTAATAATATCCTGATCACCCAAACTAAAAAAAATAGAAATCTAATTCTGGAAATTATAGAACAATTCTTATATTTTTAAGAGACTTTAAACATCTACTCAAATTTTAAAATATATCATTTAGATGCTAGAGGATGTCAGAACCGATAAAACAAAGTTGAATAAAAGAAAATTAAGCAGAGTTTAGTTTAAACCACTGTATAATACTTACTCTGCTTGACCATATACAATGGACAATCTTTTTGTCAAATTGACCCAAAGTGTGTCCCATTTTATTGAGTTTAGTTTTGCCAAATCATATAACATGACACCTGAATTAAATCTGTAAAATATGATATCGCATACATACAAATATTTGTTTTTGGTTTGGGTATTACCTACCCAGTTCCAAGAGCAGGCCACGGATGTGCTTTGCCCAGTTTTCCTAGGTAATATTGACTTTGGTTTTCAACCATACCAATTGTCTAGAGTATGTCTTAGGTTAATTATATTTACCTTATACATATATTTTTATTTACATACTTGCTTATAATTAAAGTCATTAAAAATCTTCCATAAAAAATATATGTCACCATTAAGTAAAAGGTCAGTGTCTAAAACTATAAGTTTCTTTGTCACATTTAGATCTATTACTTTCGGAAATATCAACTTCAGAAGGCCATAGTTTCCAGAATAATGATTATTTGGCACCCATCGTACATCCTTTAACCACTTCTTAATATTATAAAACGATACAGTTACTAAAATATAGTAATTTAATAAATGTTGTCAATGTCTTCAAAATAATAACACACCCAAAGGAATCTGCCATGTTTTAAATAAAATTCTAAGGACCTTTTCAGATTCATCGCTAACTAACAAATGGAAGTGAATTGGATTTGACCTTGTTAAAAATAAACTTTTTAAGAAACCATGAAAATATACATTAGAATTATAACCAGAACACACAATACCAATATGTATAACTTCACAATAATCTCTTGATTGCAGTTCTAATTCTCTTGGTAAGTATTCTTCATTGCGATATAAATCTTTAGCAAATTGCCTAATGCTCTTGGGGTGTGCCCCTGCTAAAAAATTAAAACATATGTTTATCACAGCAATCAAAACTAAATAAGATACCTACTTGGAATGTTATGTACATTGTTATACAAGTATATAAAAACTCCTATAAGAAATATAAATAAAATTATTATCCATGATCTAAAAATTTTAAATATGCAGCCATTCCGTCGTTTATACAGATTGTGTATTTAAATCTCCAAAGGTGTAATAAATAATCCTGTAATACGAATGTAAACAGAACTACATAGATTTATAAAAAAATTTCCTCTTTATAATAAAGTCTATCATTGAAAATGATTAGTTAAATTGGCAGAGAATAGACTAATTTAAACTTAAATTGAGACTAATCTGCTTCTATCAGATAACAAAAGTATTAAAATTATTTAAACACACTACAAAATGTAAACTACACATAAATAATCCAACAAACACCCTTTTTAACTTTCTGAGGTTAAAGTTTTTGACAGTTGTCAAAAGTTTTTAAATTTCTTCTTTTTGCTTTATTAACATAACATTAATCAGTAAAAAAGGTAAAAATCAGAGATATGAGGAAGTTTCTAGTAAAAAGAGTGTTCAAAGAGTAAAAACATGGTAAAAACCAAATAGAAAACAGTACATTTTGTCAAACAACAAATTTGTGATTTTCGGACATCAATTAATGAATTAAAATATTTATTGAAAAATGAGTAGAAGCAGGTAGTAGCACGGTAGTAGTATCAAGTTTTACTTTACTTTTACGGCCTGAGCTGCCAAGGCTATACGGCTAATAGTATTTAAATATTATAATTAAATAGATTATTTTTTTCATTTTAATTATTGTCACAGAACGTAATTATGTGAATTTAAAATCCATTCTCCGATTTTAATTTTGTAAGTATATCCTAATGACTAATAACAAATAATTAATATATCCAGCACTTTATCCATTATATCAGGTGTATATTAAGTGGCATACCTTTTGGCATACAATTATTTGTTTTGTTGGTTGCCTATCGGTTTCTCTTTCTTTTTTAGTTCTCCAACTGCTTAAAATGGCTGCTGGAGTAAGTTGAAAATTAAATTCTTGAATTATTTAAATAATTATGTATCATCTCTAGACATTATATATCAAATTAATCAAATTTTGTTTTCATCGTTCTTTACTAACCATTCCATTTAATATTTTTTCTAGACTTTATACACTTATCCTGAAAATTTTCGTGCGGCAAAGGCATTAATCGCTGCCCAATATTCGAAGGCTGATGTAAAAGTTGCTTCCAATTTTGTGTTTGGAGAAACCAACAAGTCTCCAGAATTTCAGAAAAAGTTTCCTGGTGGAAAGGTAAGTCATAAAAATGACAAATTATCTGGTTTTTCAAGTGCTTTTGAGGTTATTTAATTATGCCAAATATGTTTGTAGGTTCCAGCCTTTGAAGGAAACGATGGTAAACTTTTGCAAGACAGTAATGCTATAGCCTATTATGTATCAAACAATCAATTAAAGGGCCAAAATGAATTTGACAAAGCTCAAATTTTACAGTGGATTGGTTTTGCTGAGGGTGAAGTATTGCCAGCTGGTTGTGCCTGGGTATTCCCTATTCTTGGAATTATTAAGAATAGTCCCAGTTCTCAAGAGGTAGGTTTTAATTTGTAAGTAAGTTTATTAGTTAAGGATTATAAATAATAGCCTCTTTCAAAGGCAATTTTTGTGATTTTTATTACACAATGATTGTAACATTTAGAGGTATATTAAACTTGACCTTAAGTATATTCTAAAGTGTGTTTTAATTTTAGAATTTAATAAGGTTAGACATATACATACATTAAGTCAGGAATTGTATTCATGTGTGTTCTGTTTTAGGCTTTCCAAAGAGCAAAGAATGATATGAAAACAGCTTTAACTATCCTTAATAGCCATTTACTCACTAGAACATACTTAGTAGGCGAACGTATTACTTTAGCTGATATCGTAGTTGCCTGCAATCTTCTTAACCCTTATAAATATGTATTGGATCCTGAATATAGAACCCCTTTCACAAATGTTAACAGGTTAGTTATTGTACACTATTAACAGTGGTTGTACTTCTAACTTAAATTAAATTAGGTGGTTCCTGACATTAGTTAATCAGCCACAATTTAAAGCAGTGCTTGGAGATGTTGCTCTCTGTGGTAAAGCTGCTCAAGTAGGTGCCCAAGCAGGTGCTGGTGAAGGTAAGATATTTATATAGTGTTCACTTCAGAATTTCATTAATATGTAATTATTAGTTGTATGGGTATATTGATTTTGTTTTACTAACTATTTTAACTACTAACAACATTTTATGAGGATGATTTGGATATAAATTAAGACTAATGTACAATATGTTCCAAAAAGAGTGCAACATATGAGAAAATTGCTGAGTTAATGAAATATAAATATTTCGCTACTTATAGATACAAATATTAAAAAAAAATTATAATACTATTATGTTAATGAGCATTTACTAATTGTGAATTATCTAATTATTTGCCCCTTTATTTATTAATTACAAGCTGCTCTGTGTAAAAATAACACAAAAAATAAGGAACATAAACATAAAGAGAATGAAGAAAAACAAAGAGAAAAAAGCAATGATAGTTCAGAAAAAGAAAAAAATGAAAGTGTAAATGAAAAACCAAATAAAAAGAAAGGTGAGATTATTTTCTTTATAGTTTCTCTTGCCTATTTACTTTTCTTTTAATTTACCAATATTTTAGTAAAATACTTTATTGGAATGCTGTTTTTTTTTCATATTTAGTAGAATCTGTATTTTATTGTTAATGTACTACATGAGAGAATTATTGAGCGCTAATCAAACTAAATTATAGGTTGATCAAAATATATTATACTAAGATATACACTATGTCCCCGGATTGTCTTTCCAAGAGGAAACACTTTATTATTGACATTTTGAGAAAAATGCATTCTTTATAAAAAAAAATTGCTTGTTCTAAAATGGTTAGTCCCGTTTATACTTTTTCAAATTTCCATATCGTTTTAGTGAAAATTAAGAAAAACATGAAAATATGGTTGATTTTTTCTCTGAAGTCCTGAAAATCAAAACGCATTTCTAGGGCAATATAACTTTGTTTTCATTCTTTGATAGATTGTTATTCATAGAACTTTAATTAAAGTAATATTTTTTGTTTTAAAATTTATTTAGTAAAATGTTACAGAAAGGATGATAGTTATCGTAAAATAATATACTTCAACAGTAAAGAATATGACACTAATCAAAATTAATAATAACCATCTATCAAAGAATGAAATCGAATTGATATTACCATAGACGCATTTTAATTTTTAGGAATTTAAAAAAATTCAACCATATTTTCATGTTTTTCTTAATTTTCTCTAAAATGGTATGAAAATTTCAAAAAGTATAAACGGGATTAACCATTTTAGATCAAGCAAAAATGTTATGAAGAATGCATTTTTCTCAAAAAGTCAATATTAAAAAAGTTTTTCCTCTTGTAAAGACAATCCGGGGACATACTGTATATATTAAAATATTCTTAATCTACAGGGAAAAAACTTACTCAACAACTTAGCGGATGCTTAAATTTTTTACTAGTCCTGGGAGCATTACTTGTTATAGAAAACCTAAATTATTAATATGGTTTGAACCAACTTAATTTCCTTATTAGCCGACCATAACAGGTATGGTAGGCTATTAGAGCCAAACTACACGGGCGGATTTTCCGCGACGTATTTCACGCGGCGCGACGCGGCGGTTTGCACGTCCCAATCGAAACCGTGCCATCAAACGAGCGCAAGTAGACGAACGGAAAATACGTCGCGTTACGTTTATTTCTGTCGACGGTGAGCGTATAGAACCAAACCAAACCCTCTACTGCGTTGATATCGTCGCCGCCACAACACTACAGGTTGTTCAGTACGGAGTAAACTAGACGAGGCGACCGACGGTGCGAAGGATCCGTTGAAGGTACAGTCAAAAAAAAATGTTCGACACAGAAATTTTTATTTGTGAAATTGAAAAGCGGCCTGCAATATACGATATAAAAGGTAAAGAATATAGCAATAGGGATGTTAAAGCGAAAATGTGGGAAGAAGTGGCCATGGTTATGTACAAAAACTGGAACGAGTTACCGATCCAGGAGAGAAATAAATTAGGTAGGTACAGAATACTTTTCCAACATAATTCATACAGCAATTACACTTTGTCATACTGATACAAAAAAAGTTCTCCTTCTCGGCTTACAAAATAATCTTTAAATTTTTCCCTAATCGCAATACCTGCAGACGGCCTTCCTGTGCCAATAGCTGGAATGTTTTCCATCAGGCAACTCGATTCGTCGTTTGAATCAACTCCATCTCTTCTTCGTACAAAATTGTGTAACAAACAAGCAGCTTTTGTTATGTCAGTGGCAAAATCTTCCGAAACCAGTATATTTGTGTGAAATACTCTCCACTTGTTGGCGAGTATACCAAAAGTACATTCAACATATCTGCGAGCTCGAGTTAATCGATAATTAAATACTCTCTTTTCAATTGACAGATTATTCCGTGCATAAGGTCTCATCACGTTTTCTCACCTAAACCAAATGCTTCATCAGCTACAAAAACATGAGGGAGTGAAATATTTGGGGTGTTTGGAAGCGGTCTGTTTCCTGGTAGATCAAGATTCTTTTGTGCCAACCTTCGACCGAAAACTGAAGATTTGAAAATATTACTATCTGCTTCTCTGCCGTAAGCTCCCACGTCAATTGCGGTAAAGCAATAATCTGCATCGCTTACTGCCAATAAAACAATCGAGAAATATTTTTTGTAGTTAAAATACTGCGTCCCTGTATTCGGAGGGCAAACAAGTCTGATATGCTTGCCGTCGATGGCTCCCAAACAATTGGGAAAATTACTTTTTCTGTAAAATTCTTCTGCTATTTTCGTCCACAATTCCGCATCGGGCTGTGGCATTTCCAACGGCTGCATTTTATTCCATACTGCCACACAAGTTTGCCGAACAATTAGTCTGATTGTACTTTTCGAAACCTGAAATACATATTCCAAAGCTGCAAAATCTGCTCCCGTTGCAAAATACCTGAAACAATTGAAAAATAATTAAAACAGTTCATTGTTTTATTGAAACAATAAAAGAATGTGTTTAAAATAAGTACTATTGGCTAACAAATATAAATAAATATATATTTTAACAATAAATAAAACGGCTTCTCTATTGTTAAAGGAAAAACGCTTCAAACACGATGGAAATCGTTAAGGGATCAATTCCGAAAAGAGGTGAGAGCGACAAAAATAACACAAAGTGGACAATCTGCAGCAAAGAAAAAGAAGAAATATGTTTATTTCGATAACCTCCTTTTCCTATTGCCAGCATTAGATACAAAAGTAACTGCTTCTAACTTCCTTGATGATACAAGTAGAAGTGAAACAGAAGCAACAGTGCAAAGTGATGATAGTGAGCTGGCTATTCCAGATGAAACAACGCCATTGCATGTATCTCCTGTTCAGACAACACCTGCAGCCACAACTAGGGAAACTAAAAGAAAAAGACCAAGAAATGTTTCTTCGGATGTAACTGAGATTCGTGAAATGACCAAGCTATTGTCCGACAATTTAGCACTTCAAAGTGAGAACATCCAAAAAGACACATTTGGCAACAAGGCATTTTTAATGTCACTGGTGCCACTATTAGATGCGATGTCAGTAGATGATATGTTCGACTGCAGGGTGTCTTTAATGGACGCTGTTCGATTATACCGGTCTCCGCGTTCAGTACAACGTTTGATGCCAAATACATCTAAATTTTCTATGGTGCCTCAATCTGCTGGGCTTCAGTCTTCATCTACAAGTCGACCACTAACACCAACATCGGACGCATCATTTCAATCACAAAGTTCATTACAAGGTTCGATGCCAAATGTTTCTAAATCCTATGTAGTGCTTCAGCCTGCTGCGCTTCAGTCTTCATCTACACCAGCATCGGATGCATTATTTGAATCGCAAATGTCAGTACAAAATTCAATGTCAAATAATACTCCTACATCTTATATGTATATGTCACAATCGCAAATGACAGACTCTACACCATTTGATTTGTATCCTGTCACCAAACTATGAAAATAAATAAATAAAAAATACTTACCTTAATGGAATTACAAGTCTTTCAATTGGACCAATCGCAACCCGCATGTTGGTATTATTTTTCTGTAAGTCTTCGCGCAGAAGGCCATAAAGTTCATCAAAGCTTCTCACAGACATCCGATAATATGAGTAGAATTTTTCTGGATACGTTCTGTGCTGATAAAAATTTTGCTGGAAATATCCTGTTGATAACCTGTCTCTTAATATTGGATGGACCCACCAACGTCGTTTCTTCTTCCTTTTCTTCAAAAATAAACTTGCACATACAACAACAGCACAACCTAACACATTGGGATCCATTTTGTAACTACAAAAATAAGTTGTATTGTTTAACGTGAATGTACGCGACGGAAAAAATGCTTTCGGTGTGATGCTGCCAATTTCAACGGAAATCCCGCCACGTGAAATACGCCGCGGAAATTCCGCCCGTGTAGTTTGGCTCTAAGATCGGCAAAAAAAAGTATTTTTAATTTCACTCAAAATGACTTATTTGGGTTCATAAATGACCTAAATGACAAAATATTTTCATGGTGTCTGTCTGTCCGTCTGTAACACGATAAGTCAAAAACCGCTAAACCTATTTTAACCAAATTTGGTACAAAAATACTGTGATAATCTGGCCATTAGGTTTTGGTGGGGTTGGGGGGGGGTTGGTAAGGGGAATGGGAGGGGGTTAAATATTTTAAAAAATCGTAACTCCAAAATTACAGTAGCTAGCTAAACGTGGTTTTCAATTTAAGATTAGGAATAATATTTGCAACAAAATTTGTAAAACCATCAAAATCAGTCAAAGTCGCATTTTTTGAGATAGAAAAATTGAAAAATTCCTTTACTTTGAAACTAAAAGAACTGCCTACCAACTTTTTATCAACATATTTTAGTATCGGCGGCTTATACATGCCTCCCGGCGCCAATTTTTTATCTGGAATTTATGGGTGGGCATTTGCCCTTTAGAATCAGCCGCCACTCTTAGCTAGAGTTGAGCCACTAATATATTTATAAATTATTCTCAATCGTATTAGTGCACCCACTTTTTAAATTCAATTAAAAATTTTCCCCCGCTCATCTTTAATATTAATTTGTACCACAGATATCAACTGGATACCGTGCATTTTTTATGTCTTATTAGTATCAATTCAGTTACATTTATCTATATTTGCCTTATGCCTAAAATACAGACAGATAACAGATTTTGTATTTGCAAATTTTACCTGAATATTCTTAAAATATCGCTAAATTTTATAATACAGTTGTGTAATATAATTCCATTAATAATTATAATTTTCAATTTTTATATGTGTTTTAGTAAATACAAATACATACAGACATGGCGTTTTTAAACGTAATCCGTTTATGGGTATTAAAATAAAATATGTAGTTCATTTTTCAGCGCTTATGTTTTTTTAATTTTGTATAGTGCATGGTTTTGCAAAAAGTAGTTGTTTTCTAATTTAATTGTGTAGCCTTAATAGTAATTTGCGTTAAATGTTCTTTTGATACAATGATACATTGCTAAAATGTTATGATGCCGTCTTATCATTTGTTTAACCATACATTAAGGTACAGTGTGGATCAAAAATTACAAATGCGAAAAATTATAGAGTTACTGAGGAGTTTATCCAAATTTATCCAGAATTAATTTAGCATAAATATATACAGGGTTGTTCACCACATACGACACGGAGTATTGTAGCTAAATGATTAGATTTTTACAAATTCTAAGTTTTGGGTTCGTTGAAGGACTATTAGAGCTACAATTTAAAAATATTTTTACAAGATACAGAGTGTCCCAAATAAATAAAAAATATCAAAATTGTATTTTTTTTTAAACGGAACACCCTGTATATTATTACATTTTTAGTTTCTACGATTAAAATATAGGTAAATTTGATTAAGGTTTATTACACTTAAACCTTACCGTTTTTGAAATATTTTCAATTTTGTGAAATTGCAGTAAAAATTTTAAGGCTTCATTTCTCCAAGGGTATCAAAGTTTTTAATACTAAATATTTACTGAAGTCTATTTATTGATCAGTTATTGTGTTGCAATAACAAAAATAATTTATATATAACTACCTCATACAGAGTGTCTAAAAATTTATTTTAAATTATTTCTAGCTTTAAACGGCAATAACTTATTTAATTTAAATGGAACGCCCAGTATATTTTAGGAGAATCAGATGCACAATTTAATTGTCAATCAAATTATATTATACCACTTTACCTATTCCTTCAAGTTTTCGTAGAAAATGTATTTTCTTATAATTTAGACCTCATTTATCAATATACCCAATATTAACATCTTAGATTATTTTTAAAGCAACAAATGTACAAAATGTACAGGCTAGTAATATTATCGTTTTTAACAAAATGATAATATTACTAGCCCATTTGTAAGCAAAAAGAAAACTATTTAAATCTTTATAAAAGAGTATACTATTAATTAAATATACCACCATTAACAAATATTTAAACGATTTTTTTATTTCTTAATGAAATAAACAAACTATATCGACAATATTTGTATCTGTACTCTTTAAAAATTTGGTACATCTTTAAAAATAATCTAAAATGTCAGCATTCCATGAGTATATTGATTAATGAGTTTTAAATTACAAGAAAATGCATTTTTTACGGAAACTTGAAGAGATAGGTAAAAAATGGTATAATACAATTTGATAGACAATTAAATTGTACATCTGATTCTCATAAAATATACAGGATGTTCCATTTAAATTAAACAAGTTATTGCCGTTTAAGCTTAAGGCCGTTAAGCTAGTAATTATTTAAAAAAAATTTTAGGCACTCTGTATAAGGTAGTATAATTTTTATTATTGCAACACAATAACTGATCAATAAATCGTGGACGTACAGCGAAAATCCACTAAGTCACATTTTTGGTTGAATTGGATTAAACACCACTATGTCCAGTTTTTCACGGTCTTTAACATGAAAAACCCCATTAAGTCCAATTTCGGCATGCTTTTTTTAAAAAGGGTTTTTTTTAAAAAGGGTTTTTTTAAAAAGGGGTAATAAAAGAGGTTTTCATGTTAAAGACCGTGAAAAACTGGACATAGTGGTGTGTTTAATCCAATTCAACCAAAAATGTGACTTAGTGGATTTTCGCTGTACGCCCACGAAATAAACTTCAGTAAATATTTAATATTAAAAACTTTGATACCCTTGGAGAAATGAAACCTTAAAATTTTGACTACAATTTCACAAAATTGAAAATAGTTCAATAATGGTAAGATTAAAGTGCGGTAAACCTTATAATCAAATTTACCTTCATTTTAATTGTAGAAACTAAAAATGTAATAATATACAGGGTGTTCTATTTAAAAAAATACAACTTTGATATTTTTTATTTGTTTGGGACACTCTGTATCTTGTAAAAATATTTTTAAATTGTAGCTCTAATAGTCCAACGAACCCAAAACTTACAATTTGTAAAAATCTAATCGTTTAGCTACAATACTCCGTGTCGTATGTTGTGAACAACCCTGTATACCTGGAAAGAGGGGTTAAACTATAAAATATTAAAAATTGTCAAAGATAATTTTTCTAAAGATAAAGTTTTTTTAAAAGATACACGTTGTTTAAAAAAAAATGATTAAAAACAATATTTTGATTCTAAAAAAACTCTCAAAAATGTGAATTTTTAAAATGACACTACTTGTTACAGTGGTCCATGGAAAGAAAGCTGCAATATATTGTATCAGTATATTGTTTTATTTTTCATCTGTATTAGAGTGAGAGAGTAATAATTTACAAAGATTGTAAAATAATTTCGATTGTGTTAAATTTTTGTTTTCTATATGTCATTGGAACAGGCTAGTATTGTGAAAATTATAATTTTTTTTCCAATTTATTGCAAGGCAGTCAAAACATTACTGCATTAGGAATTATTTTAATAGACGCATGTTTTTAATAGTTAAAATAATATGTTGACCTATATGGACATCTTAATGACAATCACTTCATTTCAAGAACATCTATTGTGTTTCTTTTTGCAGTTTTTTGTATTGGCGTGCATATTAGTAACTTAATACTTCAAAATCAGAATTCTTGATAGAAGAAGAATAGAAATAATACATATTGTTATGGTATTTAATTATATGTTTTAATGTTTGATATAGATAAGTGATTTTTTTGAATATCTCAAACACCCTTCTATAGAATTATTTTTTTTCTCTGCTAGGTAAGAAGAAGAAGGACGAAAAGAAACAAGAGAAGAAAGAAAAACCGAAAAAAGAGCAACCCAAAAAAGAGAAAGAACCGGAAGAAGAGTTGGATGCGGCTGATGCTGCTCTCGCCCTCGAACCTAAGAGTAAGGATCCATTTGAGTCTCTTCCAAAAGGGTGAGTCGTTTGAGTGATTAATTCAGTGTTTTTACAAAGATAGTCTGAAAAGTTTTCAACTTAAGCATGTATATTTACATTCACATATCACCATCTGAGCATATTTTAAATGACGCCCACTAATAGTCTAAAGTTGCATCCACATTGCTCGCGGGCAGGCCAAACAAACACGCGAAACACGAAAAACATGGCAAACAGTCGGAGCGAGATGTTCGCGGTGCTCCGCGTGCTTGCGATCTCATAAAATATCGTCGCGGTACATCAAAGAGACGCTTCGGAGCCATGCGAGCATACTTTACGGCCGGCGCGGACGCGGGCGGTTCGCTCGAGCTGTTTGCTTTGTTTGTTAAGTGTTTAATTTGGTTTCATTCATAGGATTCGTATTTAATGCAGTGTGACGATACTATGATTTTTCTTATTTTTTTTTGTTCAGAATTACAAATATTTGTGTTTTGATCTTGGATTAATAAAATTAAATATACCTTTAATAAAATATAACTCATCTATATTTATATTGCCTACTTATCTTAATCTGATCTTTGAGAACTTTATTTATATTTTGGCATGCGCATGATGTTATTTTTGAAATGCTTTGCTTGGAAACTTTGAATAAATATTTCAAACTGGTATGTGAGTTTCTAGTTGCAAAGAATCTTAATGTTATGGCCAATCTTTATTTAACTCTTTCTTTAACCGGAGTACACTTCCTAAAAGTTGTATTTTTCCTTTCTATAAGGGGGCCAACTAATCAGTAGCGGACATGCGATAAAAAATATTAAAAAAAAACATTCTCTCTGTTTGTAAATCACGTAGATGTTTACTTTCACTGTGTTGGGATCTACTTTTGAAATTATTAGACATCCAACAGCGCCTTTTTTTCTCTTTGTCTCCTTCGTTTTGCAATAATGATCGCACTAGCAGCCGCTATTAAAAATACTTCAGTATCATCCATGTCCGAACAGCACAAATGCAAGGACTACATTACAATGTGGACGCCGTTGCTTGCGAGCTGAAAGATCTTGAGACGAAAGAGATACGAAAGACACGACAAATAGGAAGCTCAAGCAACGCAAGCACAATCAGAAGCAAGATCGCGATCAGGATCACGAGCAGTGTGGACGCACTTATTGTATCAGTTAAGAGCATCAACGTTTTCGAGAGAGAATTTTAAGAAAGCTGGCTCTTTAATAAATCTTTTGCTTTGCTTTCTGGAACAGCTTGCTGCCGATAGACTTTGCTTTCACTACTGCGCATCGGAAGAAGATCCAAAATTTTTTTATTTGGTCCGTTAAATTCTAGCTTTGAATATAAATCGAGCAAATCTGCATAGCGCGGCGCGCCTATGAAGTTTCACCTATGATGCGAGAAGTCCGAGTTCGGGACTGACTCAGGGTATAACTTTTGTATTTTATTTTCATTTAAATTCTGATAGTAAAGTATTAAATATTTGTTTTTTTTTATCACCAGAACGGATGGCGTTTGTGGGTTTATGAGCTGTACTGTATATAAGTAGAATTTGATACTTCTATTTGTTTTGAAGGATTATTGTGGTAATTATTAGATAGGTTTAGGATGGTCTGGCTGCCGGTAGGATGCGTTTACTACTGCATATCAGATATGTATACAGGGTGTCGTATTCTCGTGTGTTTTATGGGATTTCTCGTTTACTAGTTGAGATATTTTGATTTAAAATTTTTTTTACTCGCTTTACATCAAATTTTTATTATTAACAAATGTCAATCTGTTTCGAGTCGTATGTGAAAATAGTGGAAAATATTGACTGGTATTGAAATATTCAATGGCGGGGTTATTGCCCCCCTCCCCTGTTTAGTGATTTACAAAAGCACAAAGCTTTGACAGCCCTGCTAGTGTGCTGGAAAACTTTCGGATGAAATCAACCATGTTACCAATGTCCGTTGTTTCAGATTCATTTCTCATATTATCTATTGAGTGATTTTCATATATTTGAAGAACTTAGCATCCTAGTAGCCTTGTGTTGGTTTTGCAATGAACACTCTTAATTTTTAAAAATTACCATTATTAATTTAAATGCAATCCTTTTCTAGAACTTTCAACTTTGACGACTTTAAACGTTGCTATTCCAATGAAGACGAATCCAAGTCCATTCCATATTTCTGGGAGAAATTCGACCCAGAAAACAATTCCATATGGTATGGAGAATACAAATATTCAGAAGAACTTTCCAAGGTGTTCATGAGTTGTAACCTGATTACAGGTAGGTGGCTTGACAAATCATGATAGATAAGATAATTTTATTTTATTTTTTTTTCTGTAGGAATGTTCCAACGCTTAGATAAAATGCGAAAACAAGCGTTTGCATCAGTGTGTCTGTTTGGTGAAGATAACAATAGCACCATTTCTGGTATTTGGATATGGAGAGGCCAGGAGTTAGCTTTTACTGTAAGTAGAAAATTTTATAACGGTCTATTAAATGTGTGTTAAGGATTAATATAAGAAAATGTTTGCTTCCTAAATGTTGCTCCTAAATAAAAAAGCGCTGTTTCATATGGAGCGGACCATTCGTGCTGATCGTGTATTTTTAAGGTCCCACGGAGTACTTTTACCTGCGCTGTCAATCTGCGCATGTGAAATAACGTTTTTAAATCATATAGCATGTCCGCGCGCTGATGGTCTGTCGAAGCCAGGGCTCGACGGATGGTGCTCGGACTAAATCATTGGAATGGATCATTCGCGCTCATGTGAAAATATTCATATAAACTCATAGTATTTGTTCAACCAACAGACGGTCCGCTTTATGTGAAACAGCACTAAAGTGGTTGGTTTTTCCTTCAAAATACCATACGATCGAAAAAAATGGCATCAGAGTTGGTTTGGAAATAAACTTTGAATAAGAAGACTAAGGAAGAAGCATATCAAAATTCTTAGGTCCACCGCGACGGGACTCAAATATGGCCGACTTAAATTCCGGTTTATCAGTGCCGTTCTAATTTTATTTAAAAAAATGTAAAACTATGATGTAGTAGACGTGGGGTAGACTCAATAATTTGTTTTTTTTATTTTTCGCTGTGAATAAATGTTGATAGTTATTAAAATTGTTATAAAAATATAAAATCCTAATAAAAATAGATAAGTTATAATAATTATTTATTAACACAAACATCCGATACGCTACTGAAGCAGGTAGTCAAACTGGCAATCTTTGACAAGTAGTAAATAAAAGCAAAAATGCAAGAAAAAATATATAATTAGTTAATTTAAGTGAATTTCATAAATGATCGGTTTACTACACGTATGTATATTATATAGTCACTTACTAGCGAAAAGTTGTTCCATTATTTCACTCGATTTTTGCTGAGATCTACCGCACGCTACACAACCAACTATTTTAGAGTCTTTTTCGATAAATCGCGATAGTGTCACTGTTAATTTAAGTTCTACCACATCATTTCCATCTAGATTTACTACCTTTATACAACTATCAGTAGTAGAATAATAATAAATAACATATAATAAGCTCCGTAAAGACTGACAAATCCACAAAATTTCAAATCAAGTTCAAATGTGTTAAATGAATCGTCAAACAGAACTGTCAAGGATCCCCACCCTAGAGTCCTTTTTCCGTCCACCATGCTTAAATACATGGATAACATTATGCTCCTTCCTTGGTCTTCTTATTCAAAGGAAATAAACAATACTTTCCAACAAAAGAATCCCTGACAGTCACAGTTGTGTCTGTCGGTTTAATTCAGAGCGTAAAATAAGCGTCAAATGATTGGTATGAAACCATTAGTACCATTATGGTATTTGTGAAATGGGAATTTTGTTGAACTAAAAAATAGTATTTATATAAAAATAGAGTTCCAACAATATGGTCCAAAGATTCAGGAAGATTTCGACACACGGTATGCAAGGAATGCCAGAAAATACAATTTGTCTGAATTAAAATGACAGACACGACTGTCACTGTCAGGAATCCTCGTCCAACTTTTGTATCAAAATATGTTTGAAACACACTGATACATATAGACTAAATCATGATATTGAACTTCCGAGATGAGCAAAACTGCGATTCTCCAATCGCAATTGAAACTGCGATTACGATTTTTAAATCGCAGCGACTGTAACCTGCGATTGCGATTTTAATATTTACCAAACCAAATTATTCGTAAAAAAATGTTTTTTCTAAATATGCCGTCGTTGTTCCATTGAAGAAATTGAGATATGATTAAAGATATGATTTGGGCATCTTTTAACTGGCCAGGACAAGACAGGAAAAACAATATACAATCGGATCTATTTTTCCAAGACATCTTGATTAAAATTAGTGTTTTTAACACAGCCATGACATTCTAGATTGAAATTTAAAATAAGATTTTTTTAAGCGAAAATGTCAAAAGTAGTGCTGGGATAATAACTCAAGCGAAAATTCGCTCGAGAACTCGATTATTGAAAAAACTGACATCCCTCGATTATGAAGAGCGATGCAAGTGACGAGTTACGAGCGCCGACCGCAAGCGATCCTAGAATGAAATAAATTGAAATCCGATTTTAATGTGACATACTCGATAAAAAGCCGAGCGAATTTTCTGCATACATTGCATGTAGCAAATTTATACGACGTTATCCGTTGCGTATCTGAGGGACAAAATTTTACGCCTACATCGACAATTTTTTGAAATAAACTAAATCAAGCGAATCGCTTGCTACTTGCCATTCTTCACCGAAAGAATATGTGCCCTGCGCACGCAACTACTGCTTGGCGTTAACGAGTACTTACAACAAGCAACGGTCGAAAAACTGTATTTTTAAATACGAGAGATATTCCGCTCGAGCGATCGCTCGATTATTGCAATCGCTTGAAACTTGAGTACTCGATTATTGAAATTAATCGGTTTTTCCCATCACTGGTCAAAAGTTGCCATATGATGTGCCATTCTATGCAGAGGGTCATTTTCTATCAAATAAAGTAAAAAAATACTGAGGGTGTCATTTAAAAATCAAAAGTTGTAGTCATTTCCGGTGAAACAGGAAGTGACTAAAAACAATTGAATATGTCAATCAATCCTAATTTATCTCATATACTAACATACCAAATCTCGTTTTTTTTTATCAGAAAAAAATGAAAAAATTATAGGGGTGAACCACTCTTGAGAAACACCCTGTATATTGTGATCGTGGCCTTAGAAAATAATACCATAGATTAGGTACCCTATAAGTATACAGATAAAAATCTTGTCCCTAATTAGTGGTACGAAAATTGTTTTTTTATGACGATGAGCAAACGAGTAAATTTTCTTGTGCGCAAAAATAAACTCCCGTTTAAACAGCGCAATAACAGGGCCGGTCAGGCGCCGTGCACAATTTTAGAGGCCATAAGTGGGCGTGCTTGTGCGCAAACTAGTAACCTAACAAGTGCGCGACACCGAAAATTGGAACCACGAAAAACAATGTTTTTGACGATAAGTTTATAATCTGTATAATCTGTGATAATACCTTCTCTATAAATAAATAATATCAGATAAGCCTAACGCCCAATAGGTGTTCACCGGTATAAAGCCAATCGCAGTTTATTATAAAATGCTTCAATAGACCACAAAATTACATTCGCAACAATATCGCAAATCGCAACTTCTAAAAATTCAAACTCGCAGATAGAAATCATGGTCCCAGTTTACAAAATCACAATCGCAACAATGTCGCTATTTCCTATGAGAGCCAATCGCAGGTTGCGAGTGCGATTTTAAAATCGTTGCGATTGAATCGCAATTTTCTTGCTCATCTCTATTGATCTTTTTCGGAAAGCTGTTTTGGGTTCCTCTGTAATGTTTGTTGTAATGTATTATAATTTGTATTTTTTTATACAGTTGAGTCCAGACTGGCAAATCGACTACGAAGTTTATGACTGGAAAAAACTGGACCCTAAATCAGAAGAGACAAAGAAACTGGTTCAGCAATACCTTTCGTGGAGCGGCACAGACAAGGACGGCAGGAAGTTCAATCAAGGAAAAATCTTTAAATAAATACGGTGCAAAACAATTCTAAATATCATTATTTGTTAATAAAGTATGTTTTGAATTTTGTGTGAAGTACTCTTTATTTATCACTTATCTATCTCTTTAACGTGCTTTAAGGATATTGTGACGTCTTGTTATACTCCATCTTTTCTTTAATAAATTTATTATTTTGAATTCTAGTTTTATTAAAAGTTCCCACCAAATAATATAAAACAGATAGAAAATTTACTTGTTATTTAATACAGTTAGAGGAATAAGTACTGAATCATCTGAAGAAGCTATTGCGTCATTATGAGATACTTTAGGCCCGTATTTATAGTTGTGTCCCAAAACGCGACCCCAGTCACGCGATGTAAAAGTCCGATAAAAATAACAGGCTTACGTTTCATCGCCCGTTCGCGCCTAGTAGGCCCGTTATTTTTGTCGGTTTTTTCGGAGATGCAGTTGAGACACGGCTATAAATACGGGCCTTAGTGCAGGTCCGAATCTACAATATTTTTTTGAGCCAGGGCAGACACTTGATAGTAGCGCGCTCTCTCTGGGGTTTTGGCGCTTTGTGGAGCCCGTTTCTTTCAATCACAGTTTCAATGGATTAGTAAATAAACGTATTATTATGTAAAAGAAATCCTACATTGTAGTCTGGTATTATAGATAGGTTTGACCAGGAGCGTATACAGAAATTTATTTTAGGGGGGCTCATATCAAAAATAATATAGAATTTGCTTTTTGGGGCGCCTTTTTTAAACCAAAAGCCTAATATTTAACCCAATTTATACTTTTTAAGGGGGGCCAGAGCCCCATGGGCCACCCCTCTGCATCCGCCGCTGGGTCTGACATATTTTTAATGATAAACGCCTACTATTAAAAAAGCGAAAGTCAAATATTGTCTTATACAGTATGATCGAATAAAAACGGCGTCAGCGATGGCTATGAAGTGACGATCGATGACATTTCTCATATAATTTTACATATAAAATGACAGCGATCTTCATTTCATAGCCATCATAGCCGTTTTTATTCGATCATATGGTATTTTCAAAGAAAAAAACACAATTTTCTCATTAAATATATATTTTAAGTAAAGGAACTGTGCTTATAATAAAACAAAAGGATTAAAAAAAAACTCGAATTTGGTACAAACTATATAGGGTGTTTCATTTAAAATAATGGAGAAAAACTCAAAATTTAGTTTTGACTTAAAAAGTGCAAATATTTTCAGGACTAGTAGATGTCGATAAAAGACATTTTCTTTTTACCGTTTTTCTAAATAGTCCAAAAGGTTTTTTGCTTAAATTTTGAGGACCACTGGATCTTTTCTGGTTTTTCTTTTTGTAAATTTTTTGTAAATCTTTTCAACTCTTATTTTAAATTGAATATCCCGATATTCAATAATTCAATTCCGATATTCAGAAATTTGCCGAAAATGGAAACTTATCCTCCATTATAGAGAATTGATATTCTCTGTGATGTAGTTTCATTCACCACTGAATATAAAATTTATCGGGGTATGTTAAGGACAGGGTTTAAAAAACCCGACCAATTATATTATTGTCGCAAAACATGACAAAAATGATTGTGGCTGTTTTTCGAAGTGGAACTCCACATATGTATTTAAAATAAAGGAAAATAGAATCATTTTATGCAGTGAACAGGAAGCATTTTGAGTATTTGAACAATTTTGAGCATACGTTTATACCGTATGATCGGAAAAAAACGGCGTCTAGTTGGCTGGGAAATCACGATCGATGATATTTCCCATATAAATTTACATATAAAATGATAACGATCTTCATTTTATAACCATCGCTGACGTCGTTTTTTTCGATCATACGGTATGTAGTTTTAATTCTGTGATATTTAAAATATTTTTGCCTCTTTTTTTACCCTTGAATTTTTTACTCTACATCCTTTAATATTTGTTAAATTAACAAATATTAAAGACTTAGATTTTAGGATTTTATCAAATAATAAATACCTACATTTTTTAACTCGATGATATCTACTGACGCAAAATCATAAAAATGAAAATATCTAGGAAAATTTTTGCCTAAGGGATAGGCAACCTTAATAGTATTTTGGAGATATATGAATTATCCATTGAATGTCGGAATAGCATACTGGGTATTCCATTTAAAATAAAGAAGTAAGTTTCTTTTAGAAGTGACCAATGTTTAATATTAATCTTGTCTCGCCCTGTATAACGTTCTCTGTCAAATTTTAATTTTGTTTAACATACAATGGTTATTTTAAATAAATGTAAGGCTATATGGAGTAAATTACAATTTAGGTAGGTTGTATGAAATGTATTCTTCATTTTCACAATTGGGAAATTTTCACCAGGAATTTGGAGTTTTAGGTGGGATTTAAATATAAGCAGTAAATTTAGTTTAAAAACGGTTATATTTCAAAAACCACTCGGTACTTTATAGTACCGTACGATCGAAAACAAAATGGCGTCCAGTTAGCTTGGAAATGAACATTCATGACGTTCCCCATATAATTTTACATATAAAATGACAGCGATTTCATAGCAATTGCTGACGCCATTTTTTTTTCGATCATATGGTACATTGTCATATACAGGGTTGTTCACCACATACGACAGGGAATATTATAGCTAAACGATTAGATTTTTACAAATTGTAAGTTTTGGGTTCGTTGAAGGACAATTAGAGCTACAATTTAAAAATATTTTTACAAGATACAGAGTGTCCCAAATAAATAAAAAATATCAAAGTTGTATTTTTTTAAATGGAAGACCCTGTATATTATTACATTTTTAGTTTCTACGATTAAAATAAAGGTAAATTTGATTAAGGTTTATTACACTTAAACCTTACCGTTTTTGAAATATTTTCAATTTTGTGAAATTGCAGTATAAATTTTAAGGCTTGATTTCTCCGAGGGTATCAAAGTTTTTAATACTAAATAATTTACTGAAGTTTATTTATTGATCAGTTATTGTGTTACAATAATAAAGATTTTACTACCTTATACAGAGTGTCTAAATATTTATTTTAAATAATTATTATCTTCAAACGGCAATAACTTGTTTAATTTAAATGAAACACTCTGTATATTTTATGAGAATCAGATGCACAATTTAATTGTCTATCAAATTGTATTATACCATTTTTTACCTATCTCTTCAAGTTTCCGTAGAAAATGCATTTTTTTGTAATTTAGAACTCATTTATCAATATACACATGGAATACTGACATTTTAGATTATTTTTGAAGATGTACCAAATTTTTAAAGAGTACAGATACTAATATTGTCGATATAGTTCGTTTATTTCATTAAAAAATAAAACACTGTTTAAATATTTGTTAAAGAGGACCAATTAATATGATTCCAGTATTCAAACTACATTAATTGACTGTTTGCGTTGATTAATATTAATTGCTCCAAATACTAAAAAACTGAATTATGTATCTGTATTAGAAAGTGTGGTAAAAAACTAACACCTTAAAAATGATATTTCATTTTTTGGCAAATGCTTATTTATAACAACAGAGACGTTCATTTTCATAACTTATTATTATATTGATTTCTGATTCAAATCCACATTTATTTAGAATAATTTATTAACGAACACAATTAAGTATGTAATTACTTAGTATTTGGTAAGTATTTGGACGGAAATACTGGTGGTATATTTAATTAATGGTATACTCTTTTATAAAGATTAAAATAGGTTTCTTTTTGCATACAAATGAGCTAGTAATATTATTGTTTTACTAAAAACGATAATATTACTAGCCTATACATCTTGTACATTTGTTGTTTTAAAAACAATCTAAAATGTCAATATTCCATGGGTATATTAATGATAATAATAAATGAGGTCTAAATTATAAGAAAATGCATTTTCTACAAAAACTTGAAGGGATAGGTAAAAAGTGGTATAATACAATTTGATAGACAATTAAATTGTGCATCTGATTCTCATAAAATATACAGGGTGTCCCATTTAAATTAAACAAGCTATTGCCGTTTAAAGCTAGTAATTATTTAAAATAAATTTTTAGACACTCTGTATAAGGTAGTATAATTTTTATTACTGCAACACTATAACTGATCAATAAGTAAACTCCAGTAAATATTTAGTATTAAAAACTTTGATACCGTCGGAGAAATGAAGCCTTAAAATTTATACTGCAATTTCACAAAATTGAAAATATTTCAAAAACGGTAAGGTTTAAGTGCAATAAACCTTAAACAAATTTACCTTTATTTTAATCGTAGAAACTAAAAATGCAATAATAAACAGGGTGTTCCATTTAAAAAAATACAACTTTGATATTTTTTGTTTATTTGGGACACTCTCTATCTTGTAAAAATATTTTTAAATTGTAACTCTAATAGTCCTTCAACGAACCCAAAACTTACAATTTGTAAAAATCTAATCATAATATTAATGGCAAAATAAAACCATAATTTTAATGGCAAATTTACTAAGCGAAAAAAAAATATAGTATTCCATTTAAAAATATACAAAACTTTAGTTTGAAAATATGTTTCAATCACCCTGTATTCCTGTATGATTTGACAAAAATATTTTCAAAATGTGCGTTATACCATTGCCCCCATATTATTTAAAAAATTGAAATGAAAACCACAAACCAAAAACCTAATATAGAGCTCTTTAGGAAATCTGAGTCACCCTGTATATTTGAACTAGAAGTAAAATGGTCTTTCAAGAAAACTTAAAGTATACCGGTACTCTCCGATCGTCTTTTGTTTATATTTAGTTAGGTTTATGTTAGGTTTATCACTTTCGCTACATAAGCCTGCACTTAATATCTCTGAAAACTCTCTGTACTTTTTACAACCTCATTTAATCGAAGTGAAACACCCTGTATAAGTCCTCTGTGCGCGCCCATTAAACATTTTTCACACACTGATATTTCACAGAATTAATATTCCATATGTTACGCATGTGTGTTATGATAACAGACCACAAACAATTTAAAGATGCTTGTGTTAAACTTAATTAATTGCACTTCCTAGTCTAAGCTCTATCTCTCTACAATAACAACATTATGAATTTCAATTTTTCAGTGATTTTCTTAATTATGTACCATTTTACCGGCAAGATCACTTCAACTCAACAAAAGTTAGATGTAGACGTCTTACTAAATAATTACAGCGAGTTTTTGAACTCCGGCGATAAAAAGTTGCAGAAAATAAAAGACAGCAATAGTTTAGAGAACGCGATAATTAAATCCAAGTTGGACGTCCTGGGAGGCCTTTTAAAACAAAACGTGGACTTTATTAGGAAGTTTCAGGAATTGGACGTAGTTTTTTTAGTGGACGCTAGTTCTAGCGTGGGTTACGATAATTTTAAAAGCGAACTCAGATTTGTGAAGAAGATTTTAAGTGATGTTACGGTTGATTATAATCACACCAGAGTTTCAGTGATCACATTCAGTTCGCCAAGTAATACAGTAAGTACAGTAATTTTTAGTTTGTAAAGCTTTTAACACTTTTTTTCATAGATAGTAAATATTAATGCTATAAGTAGTCCGGAGAAGGAAAATAACAAATGTTTGCTATTAAATAATCAATTGATGAATATTGAATACAAAGGAGGCGAAACATACACTTTTGGTGCCTTTGAAAAGGCGAAGGTAAGTGTTTCTGATTAGGTATACACAAACAGTGAACCACTTCCTCAAATATTTCATTCATAAATTTGAAATAACGTAAAAACTGATTATATTAGAACGTTTGTAAACGATAATGACTCACTGAATTCCTCTGATTATGAAATATAAATAAATATGAACGGTTCTATACATAATAACAATAAACAGTAATTACATTATTAGATTGACCATCAGTTATAATTTCCTTTTTAGATAAGAACTTATAAACATATCTATATTAAGTTAATAATTTTTACTTGCTGTTAATATTTAAATATATTTCTGTTAATAACTTAAAATTATCAATGTAGAATGTAGAGTTAGGGGAAGGGGGTTAATCACTGCGACCTACAGATCTATTGTGTCTTTTGTCCCCCTTTCTTGAGTTATAACTCATCATACAGTCCCAGGGCTTTGACGAAAGCCAGTATCTGGGATGGTTTTGTAGAGGGTTTCTCCATCTCCAATATTAGTCTGGTTCACATGTACCATTTTTAGTAAAATTTTTCAATATTCTCCGGAAATTACGAATGTGGTGTCATTCGATTATTCGTATTGTCACCTAGAAAGTTTAAAGAAAAGTCCGAAAAGGCACTGAAAATAATTACTAAAGTTATTAACAATTAAGTGAAAAAAAGTGTTTTTTTTAATATCTAGAAAAATATTAAGATTTTCAAAATTTGAAAAAAAATCCTAAAAGATGAATAAATTCATTAAAAAAAAGTTCTACTCCCGGAACTGTAGCTCAAATATTTATAATTTTTACAGAGCCTCGGAAACAGAGCTAAAAACGGGTAGTCTGGCTTCCGCGCGCGTTGCCTCACTTCAAGACAACAACAAATTATTTAACCATATTAAATATTAATATTAAGGAATAAGAAAATTCATGGAGTGTTGGGATACATGAATAAACAATAATCCGCGGTCGAAAAGTTTGTATCCCAATTTTAACATTAATTATGCATTTATTAGAACTGAAAGTTAATATAAAACCTCGATAATTATTAAACTAAAACCCTAACATTATTTTCACTTAGTGAAGTTATTCTTAATAGACGAACAAATGAATTGCCGTTAAACAAATTAAACAATTTTCATTTTCCACTTTTTTTATTAACAATTCAAAATTATAAAATAAAAAAGTAGGTAATAAAAAGAATGTTTTAAAAAATTTTAATTGTTTTGATTTCTAATCGTAAAAATCTACTTCAAAATGTATATTATTTTTTATTTTTTACTACTATTGTTGAAAAATTTGTTAAAAACAAATATATTGTTTATTAACAAATCGAAATTTTTTTTTGTATTATACATATTTATTGATGAAAATTATGATTTTTAGGGAAAATTCCATTCCTTAAAAATATTTATTTATTGCTTAAAAATTCGATTGTTAATTAACAATCGTTTTTTTGCGAGTCGGTAGTCAACCTCACCTTCACGTGGTGCACCCTGTTTACACAAACGAGGCTCTGACGTCCGAGTATAGGCGGTATAACCTTATACAACCCTCAGACCTACCATCTTCTGGGGAAAAGGAGTAATAAAATACACCTAGCCGGCCGAGAACGTAGCACAAGGGAACTATCGTCGCAGTCCTCACTGTGCCATAGCCATCCCGTGCTACAGTTGCAGCCAAAACTGTGCGGCAGCGTAACCGCCACAGTTAAACCTTTTCACGCAGCTTACACACAGCAATGATGGAACATTCGAGTGGGACAAAATTATCGTGGTAAAATACCCCCTCAATCGGATCTCCGGGAGGGGGTGCCTACTCGAGCGTATCATCGGAGAAACAAAAAACATCAATGTTTCACGTTCGCGGCGTGGAACGTCCGCACTCTACTGGACAAGATAAATTCAAATCGACCAGAGAGAAGAACAGCACTGGTCTCCCAGGAACTCCACCGATTAAATATAGATGTTGCCGCTCTAAGCGAAACACGCTTTGCAGATGAAGGTAGTCTCACTGAGGAGCATTACACCTTCTTTTGGAAAGGTCATCCCGCAACACACAGGAGAATTCATGGTGTAGGCATTGCGATCAAAAACGAAATCGCCACCAAGTTAACAGAAGTACCTATTGGTGTCTCCGAACGTCTTATGACCCTAAGGTACCCCATATCAGACAAAACTTACGTCAACATCATTAGTGCCTACGCTCCCACCCTTGACGCTAAAATTGAAGATAAGGATAAATTTTACCAAGCTTTACAAAATGCCCTTCAACGAATTCCAAAGCACGAACGAATCATCTTGCTAGGTGACTTTAATGCCCGTGTAGGCAAACAACAGGAAATATGGCCTGACGTATTGGGAAAACATGGAATGGGAAACGCAAATAGCAATGGTGAACGCTTATTAACAACATGCGCAGAGTATAATCTTTGCATCACCAATACGTGGTTCATGTTGAAGGACAAGTTTAAAGGTACCTGGAAACATCCTAGATCAGGCCACTGGCATCAATTGGACTACATAATCGTTCGAAGGACGCATCTAAAAGATGTTAGGCTCAGAAAAGCTAGAGTAGATGCCGAATGCGGCACTGACCACCGACTTTTAATTTCAAAAATGAAAATCCAGTTAAAACCCAAACATCCACGCTGTAAAAAGCAAAACAACATGACCAGATTGAACGTACGGGGTCTAGAAAACAACAATACCGCCGACGCCCTCCGGGAAGCCATCAAAGAATCACTTCCACCGATAACTTCAATCTCAGTATTGGAAGCTGAACAAGGCTGGACACAATTAAGGGATGCGATTCATAAAACCAGCGAAGCAGTACTGGGAAAGTCGAACAAAAAGAAACAACCAGACTGGTTTGACGAAAATCAACCGCATATACAGGCTTTGTTGGAACAAAAGCATAGAGCATATCAAGCCGTCACTGCAAATCCACATAATCCAAGACTGGTAGACAACTTTAAAGCAGCCAACAACACGCTTCGAAGAGAACTGCGCCAAGTAAAGGATAACTGGTGGTCACAAAAAGCGAATCAGATTCAAGAGTACGCCACGCATCACGATTATCGTAAATTCTTCGAGGCTGTAAAAGAAGTATACGGCCCAACTAAGAAGGTAAGCTGCCCAATCATGGCTCAAAATGGCGAACTTCTAAAAGAGGAAGAACAAATTAGAAATCGCTGGAAAGAACATTACAGCCATATCCTTAACCAAGAAAACAACCCCAATATGGAAGCATTAAACACAATACCTCAGTATAACAGCCTCGATGTATTAGACATCCCAATAACAGAACAAGAAATAAAGACCTCCATAAAACAGCTTAAAAACAACAAATCAGCTGGCTGTGACGATATTCCGGCGGAAATCTATAAGTGTGCAAGTAAAGAACTTATTGGTCATCTTAGGGCTCTCTTTGATGTCGTATGGGAAAGCGGAGAGGTACCTCAGGATTTTCGCAATGCGAATATAGTGAATATATTTAAGAACAAAGGAAGTGCATCAGACTGCGGAAATTACCGGGGAATTTCGCTATTGGCTATCGGCGGAAAAATTCTTGCAAAAATAATGTCAAACCGCCTGCACCCACATATAGAAAAAATTCTTCCAGAATCGCAAACGGGTTTTCGTACCAACCGCGGCACCGTCGATTCCATATTTTCCATCCGTCAACTACAGGAAAAAGTAAAAGAGCAGCAGTCTAAACTTTATGTTGCATTCATCGATCTAACAAAGCCTTCGACTCTGTGAACAGAGATGCGCTTTGGGCAATTATGGAAAAGTTCGAGTACCCAACAAATTTCTTACAGTGTGTAAAAGCCTCCATAACAACAACAAGTCAAGAGTGTCACATCATGGATCACTGAGCGACCCATTCCTAACAAATACAGGAGTTAGGCAGGGATGTGTCTTAGCGCCTCTCCTATTCAACATATTCATGGCAGCGCTCTCCATTATAGTGGACAGCAAACTGCAGGAGAGAGGATTGGGCATTAGATACAGATATGACGGCGGTCTGTTCAAATAAAAAGACTCAGGGCAAAAACACGTACAAAATTTATCACAGAACTTCAATACGCTGACGACTGCGCTCTAGTTGCAAACACGGTACAACAATTACAAGAAATGTTGAACACATATACCTGGGCATACGAGGCTTTGGGCCTTAAGCTGAACATCGGCAAAACTAAAATCATGTGCACTCCCCCGGAAGATCACAACAATGCTATAAAAATCGGAGAAGAACTATTCGAATATGTGGCGGAATTCAATTACCTTGGCAGTTTGATTTCGGAAAAGGCCAATATTGACTCTGAAATTCAGCACAGGATTAGTAGCGCCTCAAGAGCATTCTGGAAATTAAAAGACAGGGTTTTCTACAATCATGACTTGAGTACAAAAACAAAACTTGCAGTATACCGAGCAATTATAATCCCCACCATGATATATGGGAGCGAAACCTGGGTGCCTTACCGCCGACACATGAACGCATTGAACAAGTTGCAACAGAGACACCTTAGACAACTCTTAAGAGTCCGGTGGTTCCATCATGTCTCAAACGTATCGGTCCTTGAAAAATCTAACTGCGAGAGTATTGAAGTCATGGTCACAAAATCCCGCTTAAGATGGGCTGGTCACGTATGCAGAATGCAAGAAAACCGCATACCAAAATCTCTGCTTTACGGTGAGCTTGTGGACGGTAAGAGGAGGCCGGGTGGACAACTGAAAAGATACAAGGACATTTTCCACGAAAATTTAAAGGGAATTAACATGCAGAATGGTGGGAAAAAGCAGCTCACAATAGAACTCAATGGAGAAGGGTTGTAAACTCAGTTAACAGCGGCAACCAAAAAGTAGAGAGGCAACAAAGCAATGAGATTTTTGAATGTCCGGAGTGCGGTAGGCAGATAACATCACGTATCGGGCTTTTCAGTCACAGAAAAGCTCATGAAAGAAAACGCCTTGCGTGACCATTTCCTTTATGTGTGTCGAATACTCGTCAGCGAGTAACGGCTGTATGTATGTTTTTTTGCGATTAGATATTAAAATTAAGAAGCCATTTTTTTTTCACTAAAAATTATAAATTCTATTGTTCTTTGAAATTTAAAAGAAAAAACAGATTCTTTTTTTACGTGTTTATTTAAAAAACAATTTGTTATAAACAAATTCATTTTTACTATTTTTTTTGTGTGTTGGTTTTCTTAAAAAATATATTTTCTTTTGTTAATATAACTTTTAATATTTTTATGACTTGAAACTTGTCTTTGTCATCCGCTCTTTTGCTTTTAAAATCAAAATCACTTTTAAATTATTGCAGATATGACAATAATGCTTCAAGTCTTTTTTGTTTAATATTAATTAATTAACAATTTTAGTCATTTACTAAAGTTCTATCTCTATTATTCATTTAATTATTGCTTATTATTTATAAAAAATAATTTTGTCTATGTATTATTGACTATACAGGGTGTTTAAAAATAAGATTTATTTTTCTAAAATTAAGACTTATTATTTTTCATATCAACATAGGTCCGATTCTGTTTTGTAGCTACAGTGTGTTAAAGTCTTAATAATCTTTCGATTTATTATAATTTTCTTCCAAGTACTTTTAGTGATTTGAATGAAATTTTGAGGGTAAAAGTTATTGTGTTACATATTTTAATGCTAAAAAAGTGCCGATAAATTCATCAGGGACGTGCATATGGGTTATCACTCGAATATTTAAAAAAAAAACATGCGCGCCACTGATTTCTTTTCTTTTGATACCAAAGTTGTGTAGGCCGTTTAATGCCAATTAAAAGCTATCTATTGATATTTTGTCGAATTCTGTCTCCTTGATGAGATAAACGCAATATTATTAATAACAATTATTAATAAAATTAAAATAAAAATAAAATTAATAAATTATATATTTTACCTAATTTATTTTTATTTATTATTACTATTAGTCCAACATACAGCAATTTTAAATAAAAAAATATCAAGATAATTACAAAAAAACTAATTTTAAGAAGTTTTAACATCCTGTAACTCTCAAACTATACATTTCGATACCCATGTTTATAGGATTTTTTTTCATATTTTTTATGAATCAGTGATGATCAATGATTACTTATTTAAAACTTTAGTAAGTTAATGATAATAATTTTTTTTAAAGGTTGCTATTAAACTTGGATCAAGGCAAATTAATAAAATTGCGTTTATTTCATCAAGGAGGCCGAAATCGATAAAATATCAAGAAACAATTTTTAATAGGCATTAAACTGCTTACACAATTTTGCTAACAAGAGAAAAAAATCAGTGGCGTACATTCTTTTTTTAGAAAAAATATTCCAGTGATAACCCATACGCACTTCTGTTGAATATGTCGACACTTTTTTAGCTTTAAAATATATCGCATTTATAGTAACTTTTACCATCAAAATTTCATTCGAAACGCTAAAAGTAGTTGGAAGAAAATTATAATAAATCAAAAAATTATTAAGACTTTAACACCCTGTACCTACGAAACAAAGCAGAATCGGACCTATGTTGATATGAAAAATAAATCTTATTTTTACATGAGGAATCTTCCCACGAGAGATAGAAAATGTTTTTTGAAACACCCTGTATATAGACTGTGTGAATACAAATGCGACATCGCACAGTCGATGCATTTACACAACAGAGTCGGTGCACAGCACCTTATGTGAGAATACACAAAGATCAATTTCAGAGCATCTTCTGTAACTTTAAGATACCTAGGTATGTCTTAGTTGGATTAACACTGTGCCTTCATCTCTTTTAACTGAATTCACCACCATATATTATTTGTTATGTATAGCAAATATTCATTTCTTGTGATTTTATTAAATGTTATTGATCTATATCTAAGTATAAAAAAATATAACGTATAAATAAGTCCCATTCTCTGTAAAATGAAAATCCTTGATATTTGATATTAATAAATTTTAAATTGAAAACAGTAGGAAGTAATTATACAGGGTTGTTCACCACATACGACACGGAGTATTGTAGCTAAACGATGAGATTTTTACAAATTGTAAGTTTTAGGTTCAATCAAGGACTATTAGAGGTACAATTTAAAAATAATTTTACAAGATACAGAGTGTCCCAAATAAGTAAAAAATATCAGTTGTATTTTTTTAACGCCTTGTATATTATTCTATTTTTAGATTCTACGGTTGAAATAAAGGTAAATTTGATTAAGGTTTATCACACTTAAACCTTACCGTTTTTGAAATATTTTCAATTTTATGAAATTGCAGTAAATAAATTAAGGCTTTATTTCTCCAAGGGTATCAAAGTTTTTAATACTAAATATTTACTGAAGATTATTTATTGATCAGATATTGTGCTGCAATAATAAAAATTTTACTACCTTATACAGAGTGTCCAAAAATTTATATTAAATAATTACTAGTTTTAAACGGCAATAACTTGTTTAATTTAAATGGAACACCCTATATATTTTACTCGAATCAGATGCACAATGTAATTGTCTATCAAATTGTATTGTTCCATTTTTTACCCATCTCTTCAAGTTTTCATAGAAAATGCATTTTCTTATAATTTAGACCCCATTTATCACTTATCACAGCTTATTTTTAAAAATGTAACAAATTTTTAAAGGGTACAGATACTAATATTGTCGATATAGTTCGCTTATTTAATTAAAAAATAAAAATAAAACTGTTTAAATATTTTTTGTTAAAGAGGACCAATTAATATGATCCCAGTATTCAAACTACATTAAATTGTCTGTTTACGTTAAAGTAATAACTGTTCCAAATACTCAAAAACTGAATTTTGTGTGTGTATTAGACAGTGTGGTAAATAGTAACATCTTATAAATTTTATTTCATTTATTGACGAATGCTTATTTATAAAACCAGAGACATTCATTTTCATAACTTATTATTATATTGATTTCTGATCCACATTTATTTAGAATAATTTATTAATTAAAACAATTTACAAGTATGTAATTAACTAACTTTTGATGTTTTTTTGTAAGAAATAATGGTGGTATATTTAATTGGTATACTCTTTTACAAAGATTTAAATAGTTTTTTGTATGCCAATGGTAATAGTATTTTGTATGCCAATTACATTTTGTATATATTATGGTGCTATAAAAAAATCTGAAATGTCAATATTCCATGGGTATAGTGATAAATGAGGTGTAAATTATAAGAAAATGCGTTTTCTACGAAAACTTCAAGAGATGGGTGAAAAATGGTATAATACAATTTGATAGACAATTACATTGTGCATCTGATTCACGTAAAATATATAGGGTGCTCCGTTTAAATTAAACAAGTTATTGCCGTTTAAAGCTAGTCATTATTTAATATAAATTTTTGGACACTCTGTATAAGGTAGTAAAATTTTTATTATTGCACCACAATATCTGATCAATAAATAATCTTCAGTAAATATTTAGTATTAAAAACTTTGATACCCTGGGAGAAATAAAGCCTTAAAATTTGTACTGCAATTTCATAAAATTGAAAATATTTCAAAAACGGTAAGGTTTAAGTGTGATAAACCTTAATCAAATTTACCTTTATTTCAATTGTAGAATCCAAAAATAGAATAATATACAGGGTGTTCCATTTAAAAAAATACAACTATAATATTTTTTACTTATTTGGGATCGGGGGGTGTCTCACTATTGGAATTACATGTACATTTTCTTGGCAGTCGCTGGCAGTCATTGGCAGTCTTATGACAGTCGCCTATAATAATTACATGTCAGTCATAGGCAGTCTTCTTCATAGTCATTGGCAGTCGCTTAGCAGTGGAAGGATATTTTGGCAGTACGTGTACATTTTGTACCCGAGTGAGACACCCCTCGTTTGGGACACTCTGTATCTTGTAAAAATATTCTTAAATTGTAGCTCTAATAGACCTTCAACGAACCTAAAACTTACAATTTGTAAAAATCTAATCGTTTAGCTACAATACTCCGTGTCGTATGTGGTGAACAACCCTGTATATGTAGTATCGAAATTTTTAAGGAAATTTTTGAAACTTCAAACCGAAACGAATCGAAGAAAGTGTTATTTTTAATTACTGATGGCTATTCCAATGGCTTCGACCCTATACCTATTTCCACCGAATTAAAAAATAGCCAAGTGACAATATTCACTATCGGAATCAGAAATGGAAATTATAAGGAGCTATACGATTTATCTTCCTCACCCGGACAGTTATACAGTTACCTTTTAGATAGCTTTGAGGAGTTTGAAGGATTGGCAAGAAGAGCGCTTCATATGGGTAAGTAAATAGATAGAAATAGATAATAGATACAGGGTGCTACAAATTCGAAGTACGAGCATTGGTATTCCGGAAACTGTAATAGATACGAAGATGGTTAAATTGGGACAAAGTTGCTCCTTGGGATGTCCACCAAGATGCCAACAAACAAGTTTTAAATATTTCAAGGATTGCTGAGTTTTTTGGAAAAAGTGACGACAGGAAAAAAAGAAATTGATTTTCAAAAAAATCCGTTTTTTTTTCCAAAAATCTCAGCAATCCTTGAAATATTTAAAACTTTTTTGATGGCATCTTGGTGAACATATTAAAGCGAAACTTTGCCCCAATTTAACCATCTTCGTGTCAATTACGGTTTCCGAGATCCCAATGCTCGTACCTGGAATTTGTAGCACCCTGTATACCAGCTAGTGATGGCGCAGGTTCAATACTTTCGGAGTGCCTAGCTTTAGAAAGAAAAACATACCGTTAACATTAACAGATTTTGTTACTTCAAAAAGTAAATAAAAAACAGCATGGCACACGGTGTGAATTATATGGATCGCTCCAACAGAAAGTTTTACCAAGTTTTTTCAAGCAATCCAAACTTTAAATAAAATCCAAACTTTAAATAATTGAAAATACTTTTAAAGCTTGATGCCCTCTGGCGGACAAATAAAGCACTTTTGTATAGGGTAAATTGTGTCCAATGAACTTATTTTTATTCCAAAAATACGTAGTAGTTTTATGTCCATGGAATTTTCGGACAGCTTGTATAATTATTCATAAATAAACAGCAAATTTCAGATAAGAGAGTGTCTGTAGTGTCATATAATAAATGCTTATTAAAATACACTTGTTCCTGTTTGGTGTTTTGTTTTAACCGTTTAAGAATAAAAGCATAATAAATAACAGAAACCTATCATTTAAAAACCTGTTATTTTTCAATAACAGTAACAGTTCCAATTGTTATTTAGAAAAAAACAGTTTTGTCTCATTTGCCATTTATACCGTATGATCGAAAAAAAACGGCGTCCAGTTGGCTTTAGAATGAGGGTGACATTTCCCATGTTATTTTACAAAGAAAATGACAGCTATCTTTATTTCCAAACCATCTCTGATGCTATTCTTTTCGATCATACGGTATAAATTGCATATGTAGACAAAACTGTTATTTCAAAATATCAATTGGAACTGTTAGTGTTACTGAAAAATAACAGTTTTCAATATAACAGGTTTCTGTTATTTATTGATTTTATTCTTAAACAGTTAAAATATCGAAAAAAACGGGTATATTTTGATAAGCATTTGCAATATAACACTACATACACTCCCTTATCTAAAATTTTTCATTATTTTATAAACGATATTTTTTTAAATCAGTATTAATTATTAAAGATAATATCAATATATTTTGTTCGATCTTCAGATCTAAGAGCTGGAAATTACATACCGCTGGGCTTGAGCACACCTTGTGATAAATTATGCGATAGCGGCAACTGTTGCGACGAACATGCTCTTTGTTCTTGCGGTACCACCACAGGCCATTATTCCTGCATATGCCAGCCTGGGTATTATGGAAATGGGCTGAGAAACAACTGTTTACGTAAGTAAAAGAAAATGCCATTTGAATTTCTTTTGTATCACTAAATATTTAAATATATATATTTTATTATATTATATTTAAGCATTGCCTTTTTATATGATTTATATTAATGTATATTTATATTAATTTACAGGAAGTTATTTTATTTTATAATGTTTATATTTATATGTTTAACGAAAACATATTTTTTAGCTTGTAAACCTGGCATGTATACAGATGGGCATGATACATGCTTACCTTGTCCAGATATACACCATACTACAAATATTCCAGCTTTTGGAATAGATAGTTGTGTATGCAAGAGAGGTTTTCAGTCGGATAACAAAGGAGGCTGCAAAAGTAAGAATTTTTATAGTTATAAATAGGGTTGCCTTTTCGGGAAAATCAGGATTATCTGACAAAACTATGGCAGACTTATCACATCTTGGGGACTTATCACCTTCGGATATCTTCATCATTTTCAGCTTGTTCAACCATTTTCAATTCTGGTGTAGCCTCCCTCACATACTTTCTTTGTAGTTGGGCGCATTGATGTCTATTGTTGGCTATTCGGGCCCAAGTGATCCCTGCTAATTTCCTAATAGCATGGTCCCATCTCATGTTCGGTCTTCTAGGTCTCTTAATTCCATCTCTTAAGTCCATCTATTGTCTTCTTGCCAGGTGTCCTGCCCATTGCTATTTGAGGGATTTGACTCTGTGGATGACATCTATTACCTTCGTCTTTTGTCGTATCAACTCTATTCTTTTACGCTCTCTCTTGGTTATTCCCAGCATATTTCGTTCCATTGAGCATTGTGCGATCTGCGGTTTCTTTATGATGTCCGTTTGAAGTGACCAGGTTTCGCATGCATAGGTCATAATTGGTAGTACACATTGGTCGATGTTTTCTTCTTCAGATAGAGTCGCATTCTAGATTTCAATATGATTGAGTTTTCTCATAAGTACTTTATGCTAACTTAATTCTTCTGTTCATTTCTGGTAGTAGAGATCGTGTATTATCGAGCTGTGTATTAGTTATCCCAAATACAGGGTGTCCCAGAAATAAGTGCAAGTATTTTAACTGGTAGTATAGTTCAACCCCAAAAAAACGCCTATGAGGTATCTTTCGCGAAAAAAAAATTTCGAAAATTCGGGATTTTTTGAAAAAAAAATTTGGAAATTTTTTTAGTTTTTATTTAAAAAACATAATTTCTTAATAGCAACATAGATAGTAGATTAAATTTACAAGAAAGACAATCCAGAAAAGATCCAGTGGTACTCAAAATTTTAGAAAAAAATATTTTTTTTTGGAAATTTTCAAAGTAAAATAACTCCTTTATTTTGGACTTATTTTAAAAACAATAAAGAGAAAATATGTTTCTTTTACCGAGATCTACCACTTACCACCCCTTAAAATATTTGCACTTATTTCTGGGACACCCTGTATATACAGGCTGGTCCGAACTGTATTCCGGAAACTTCGGGGGCATATTCTGCAGATAAAAAAAAGTAAAAAACTTCCTATAAATGTATGTCCTAAAATGCTTAGTTTCGGAGATAAAGGGTGTAGAAGTTTCATTTTTATTTCGATTTTTTCTAAATAATTTCTGAAGTAACGTCAATATTTGGATGAAAATTGATGTCTGGTAGTTTTTTGACATGAGAAATTTGATTTTGATGTCATTATGACCTACATGTGTTTTAACTGTTTTGAAGAGTAATAACTTTTTGTCCGTACCTGTATAGAACTGCTGAGTGAAAAAATATACATTTTCGTATTTTTTATACGTAAAAAATGTCTCTTAGTAAAAATCGTTACGAGCAACCGTTCTCGATATATTTAGAATGGGAATAGTCAATACATGTCATTATTGACAAAATATAAACATCTTGAGTAGATAGTTATTTGACTAAAAAGATAACTTTGGAAAATTTTTATTTTGTTAAATTAATCATAAAATTTTCTTCGAAAAAATGATGATTGATGATGATTTGGCACAAAAACATTTCAAATTTATGATTTCCGTCTATTAACTATTTACTCAACATGTTTAATTTATGTCAATGATGACAGGTATTGATAATTTCGATTTCAAATATCTCGAGAAATTACTGCGATTTTTATTAAGAGATCTTTTTTACGTTAAAAACGTCGTAAATGTATATTTTTTGACTTAGTAGTTTTAGCAAAATAAAACACTAAATCACCACAATACACCAAAATACTTTTACTTTGACACTGGACGCGCGCTTCGCTAACCATGTTAGCATCATCAGCAGATGATTATAAACTCATTTTTATTCAATCATTACTTCAGTTTATAATCATCTGCTGATGATGCTAACATGGTTAGCGAAACGCGCGTTCAGTGTAAAAGTAAAAGTGTTTTGGTGTATTGTGGTGATTTAGTGTTTTATTTTGCTGTGTAACACCAAAGGCTCCAACCCTCAACTGTAATTAGTAGTTTTATACAGGTACGGACGAAAAGTTATTACTCTTCAAACCTATAAAAAATATGTAGGTGGCACCGTCTATAAGTAGGAGCCATATTGACACCAAAAATTGAATTTCTCATATCACAAAACTCCCAGACACCAATTTTCATCCAAATATTGATGTTACTTCAGAAATTATTTGGAACTATCTCCGAAACTAAGCATTTTAGCACATACATTTATAAGAACTTTTTTACTTATTTTTATCTGCAGAATATTCTGCTGAAGTTTCCGGAATACAGTTCGGACCACCCTGTATATTCTTCTACTATTCCAGTGTTGTGTTATTTACTAGAATGTTTTTTCTTTTTCTTTGTACGTTTTTTTAGTTTTTGCTAAATTCATTTTGAGACCCACTTTATTGCTGGCTGCACAGCTACTGGCTAAGATATTCTTCATCTATTTTAATCCTTTGTTGGGCTAGTCCAGTTGACTGAAGATTTCTACTACTGTTGCTGTAAACAGCTTTGGGGATATCGCGTCTCCTTGTCGTACTCTTTTGCAAGTTAGGAACTCTTGCTTTGGTTCTTTGTATATATTGGCGAGAGTTTCTATATATGGCCTGTCAATACCTTGTTTCGCTAAAGCTTCTATTATTGCCTTAGGATATATCGAGTCGAGAGCTTTCTGAAAGACTCTAAAGGCTAAGGCTAGTGGAAGTTCGTATTCTTTTGTTCGGCTGATAGTTTCTCTTAGCTAATGTATGTAATCAATCGTGCTGAAGCCGCTTCTAAAGCCTGCTTGTTCTCGTGGTTGTGCAGCGTCTAACGTGTTTTGTATTCTATTGTTTATTATTTTTTGTGAATATCTTGTATGTTACTGGTAGTAGACTTATTGGTCTACAGTTCGGATATATCCACCTATACATATTAAAAGGTAGATCCTTGCGCCGGCAGTGGAAGGCTTCACCACGGACCCACATTGGGTAAAATACAAATAGAATGAATGCTTAGTAATTAACAGGCATACCGAAAGGAACAAATTCATTTGGGTATTAAAAAATCGTTACTTTTACAGTTCTAGATGATAATGACTTCCTACTATTAGCACAGGCACAGAATATATACGCAAAACCTGTTGTCTTTCTACGGGCTTCCACGGTAAGATCGATGAATCCATGCGCTTCTTTTTAGCTAAATAAAGATTTATTTATTTATAGGATAACTCCCATCATCTTTATTCATGACCCATTTAACTTGAATCTTTAATGTTTTCACCATTTAATTGTATATACATCCAATTTTTATCGTATTACCCTGAATATAGACTTTGTTTAACTAATTCTTAATAAAACAAAACTTTTCTAGTTTTAAAATGCCCAAAAATATCAGCTCCTGAACATGGCTATATAGTAAAGAAGAAGGAATGTAGTAATGTACTAAACAGTGCTTGTGGTATTAGATGCGAAGTGGGTTACACGCTGGTTGGAAGTAGTATAAGATTGTGCCAAGAAAATGCAACCTGGAGCGGATCAGATCCATCATGCGAAGGTATAAGCATGTATAGGCATTATTGTCATTATGTTCTTTTAAATACTTTTTAATACACATAATTTATTTACTCTTAACACTAAAGAACTATAGTTAAATACAACAGCATAACAAATTGGGTCAAAATAAAATGTAATAATTACTACAATTATTCATATTTATTACTTATAATTTAAAGGTTTAAATTACTAGACAATCTTGAAAAATACTGTTTTTAGTATCATCTTCTTTCAACATTAAACATAATTGATTAGGCAGTTGACTTTTACTTATTTACGTATTATTTTACTTTAATTATCTATTAAAATATTAATTCTCTAAATAAAGGGTGTTTAATGACATAATAATATTTGAAGAGATGATATTTGGACCTATTCTAAGAAAAAAACTTCATATGAATATATGTCCTAAACATCTTAACTTTTTAGATACAGGGTGGTAAAATTTTCTTTTTTTAGGGTTCCGTACCCAAAGGGTAAAAACGGAAACACTATTACTAATACTTCGCTGTACGTCCGTCCGTCCATCCATCTGTCACAAAGGTCTATCTTATGAACCGTTATAGCTAGACAGTTGAAATTTTTACAGATAATGTATCTATGTTGCCGCTATAAGAACAAATACTAAAAACAGAATTAAATAAATGTTTATAAATAAAAAAGTACTTTCACTAAACATTATCTTTTAAGTAAGAAGTTTACATAGAATCTTTCAAGTCCTTGGTGGCCGCGTGGTTTAAAGCGGTTGGATTTTACGCTGCTATGACGTTCGAGCCGTAGTAAGGCAGGTTCGAATCCTAGTCAAGGCGACTTTTTTTAATCGTTTTTTTTTAATTTTTACATATTTATTATTGATTAATACCATTTTTAGTAATGTGTTTCTTCATTTTTTTGTCAGCTAAATCGGAAAAAAGTTTATAATAATATAGTGCCTAATGTTGTATAGATAATGAATGGCTTCGTGCGCGAGTCCGACTTGCACTTGACCAATTTTTTCAAAATATCTCTGATGCCATATTTGATACACGTCTTCCATGCATCACGATGCTTATTTTGATATACAAAAAAAAATCATTTCTTAATTTCCTTCCAGCCGATACAGAAATGATTTCCACATAACAGCCACCGTCATATTTTCAGTGATTTGACCCTGAAATAAACTGACTTTAATTTTTTAAGCAAAAACTATGTGTCGGACGAAAAAAATCAAGAGACAAAAATGTTTAGAAATGGAGATTTTAAAAATAATTTCTATTTTAAGAGAAGTCAGTGATGTACCACTTTTTTCTCCAAAAATATTCAACGTAAAAAACGTATGGACGGCACTGGTTGAAATAAATAAAATTCTTCGTACAGCAAAACAGGTATCTTGATGCATAGAAGACGTGTATAGAGTTTCATAAAGATAAAAAAGAAGAGAAAATATAAAATCAGAGTTATTTTGAAAAAAAGGTTTCTTTTTAGAAAAATTTATCGACAACAAGGATTGATTATTTGTCAGAACTATACAAATCAGAAGAAATAGAGGTTGAACTAAATACACCCAAAATAATGACCAACGACAACGTACAGATTGAGGCAGCCGATATAATTACATCCCTTCGAAAGCTAAAGAATAGGAAGAGCCCAGGGCAAGATGATATCCCAAACGAATTACTTAAATATGGCGGACAAAGTCTCATACAGCAGCTAACATCCCTGATTCAAACAATCCTTTACCAACACAGGATATCCGATGAATGGCGAACAGCACCACTATCTTGATGTTTAAAAGAGGAGATAAGAAGCTGCCCCCAAACTATAGAGGCATAAATCTTCTAAGCACCACACTAAAACTTACGACAAAAGTGATAACAACCAAAATTAACGACTTAACATGCTTAGCAGATGAACAGCAAGGTTTCAGATCGGGCAGATCATGCACAGACGCGGTTTTTCTCATAAGACAGATAACAGAAAAATCAATCGAATATAACAAACCAGCGTATATGTGTTTTATTGATTTAAAAAAACGTTTGATCGTGTGCAGCTAAGAGACGTTGTACACCTTCTTTACAATAGGCAAATCCCACACAACCTCGTTAAAACCATACAAAACATATATGAAGCGAACCAAATTCAAGCTAAAATTAACGGGGTCCTGACCGAACCAATAAATGTAGGCCGTGGTATCCGACAAGGTGACTCCCTGAGCCCTCTTCTTTTCAACATAATTATGGACGAAATAATAGGAAATGTACGTTTCCGGAAGGGATACAGTATGGGCGACCAGGAAATTACTATTCTATGCTATGCCGACGACGCCGTATTGGTAGCTGAAAATGAGAACGATCTACAGCGCTTATTACATCGATTTAATTGCACTGCCAAGTCACTTAATATGATAATATCGACCCAGAAAACTAAATGCATGACGACATCAAAAGTACCACTAAGATGCAAACTGGAAGTCAAGGGCAATGTTATCCAGCAAGAGATGAAGTTTAAGCATGTAGGCATAGAAATCTCAGGATATGGTGATGTAGAAGCGGAGGTGCGAGAACGGACAACGAAGGCAACCAGAATAGCAGGATGCCTGAATGATACAATATGGCGAAATAAAAACATTGAGGTGGAAACATTGAGGTGGAAACTGAAAACAAGGCAACGGTACGACCAATAAAGACATACACTGCAGAAACTCGACCTGATACAGCAAAAACTAAACAACTACTAGAGACAACCGAAATGAGAGTACTACGCAGAATAGCTGGAAAGACGCTTCTGGACAGGGAGAGAAATGAAAGCATAAAAAGAGCGTGCAAGGTGGAAAATGTAAATGAGTGGGTACTCAGCAGAAAGGAAGAATGGAACGACCATATCAGCAGAATGGACAACAGAAGGATAGTGAGAGTTGCATGCGACAAATCACCGCTAGGTCGCAGAAGCTTAGGACGTCCATGAAAACGATGGAGCGACAACTTGTCAGTCTAACCGGTAGAGACGACGAAACCAAACAGGCGATTCGCCTAGTATGAAGAAGGAAGAAGAAGAAGAAGAAAAATTTACCACCCTGTATCTCAGAAATTAAGATGTTTAGGACATACATTCATATGAAGTTTTTCTCTTAGAATAGGTCCAAGAATCACGACCTTAAATATTAGCAAGTCATTAAGGAACACCCTGTATACTCGTATTTTGTAAAATCATTTTTACACCCGAATGGAACATTATTTTAGTTAAAACTTGTACTCGTCCTCCCATTCCTAAATATGGTAGTCTGAAATGCGAACATTCTGACATAGGAACAGTTTATGATAAGACGGAGAAGTACTTTCCCGTCGATACTGTATGTAATTTTACGTGTGCTAAGGGGAACACTTTGATCGGCTCTTCACAAAGAACATGCCTGCCTATTGCTCAGTGGGATGGTCTGAGAACAATTTGTAAACGTAAGTATGGTAAATTTTTACATTTTCATGGTTCGAATTGTTAATAACCAGCGAATGGATATGCAAAAAAAAATATTCTTTAGTCAATTTCTCAACAACAACATTTTGTCATGCGTGATTGTAAATTTTTACGAGTTTATATTAATAACAACATGTTCCTTTATTTGTAAGGATTATATTGTTGTCTTAATGTGTTGATTTACTCGTAGTGCACAAGCTTCTTCATGTTTTTAGGATTTTGCCATAAACCGAAAACCGAATTGCCCGAAAAAAATTTCTTGGTATTTGTCAAAAACTCCTCTCTCCCACGTGAGATTCGGCTTGATCCTCCCCCCTATCACGTGATCCTATCACGTAATAAATGGACGCCCCTATATTTCTTATTTAGAATATTAAACGTCTATTTCTAACGTAAAAATGTATATAATTTTTTTACCTGTATATTTTAGCAATTAAATGTAATAAGTTGCCCCAAACAAAATTTGGCAAAATTGAACCCGCTTCTTGTACCACTGGAAAGCAAGAGTTTGGTAAAAAATGCAGAATCATTTGTAATAAGGGATTCAAAGCTGATGGAGAAATTGAGAAAATATGTGGAGATTCGGATTTATGGAATGGAAAACATACAGTTTGTTTCGGTATGTTTTAAGAATATAATTATTAAAAAAATTATTATTAATAATTAATTGTTGTAATATTCGATAAAAAGAAGAATTGTATAATTATTTAGTAAATCTACGAATATATGAAGGAAAATCAAAATTACTTTTATTTAAAAACGATTAAATAATTTTGAAAATTTTAGATAAGGAACCTCCTAATCTCACATGCCCGAAAAATATAACTACCAAAAATATACCAGGCACAAGTTTTGGAAAAGCTAATTGGTCTGCACCTAATGTAACAGGTAATAAAATAATTGATTAAAATATTGAGTTGGATTTGTGCATGGTCTTAGAACTCCTCATCACTGAGTGCGCCAAGACGACAACCATTCGTACCATAAACTTTGGTTCAGTTTGGACTAACAAAATAGATCTTCAAGGTCTCGGTGGTAATAAGCTACTGTCTTAAAAACAAAGTGGTTTTGTCTATCGGATCGTAAAACTGCAGGGCAACAGCCTTTTATCGGCTTATAATCCACGGTGTTAAACTTTGGTGTTAAACTCTTTAAAAAATCGTCTAATTATTTCTTATTTTTGAATGGCTTTATATCAGATCATGCTGTGTGCTAACAAAAATATCGTTTACAGTATTATCTTAACAACAATAAGAGAACATTGCTTTTTAAAAATGTCTGTGGACCATACTTTTGTTGACATCGTGTCAATCAACAGATATTTTAGAAAAGTCTAGGTTAACTTATTTCACTGAGATTTATGAAAAAAAGTCCTTTGTCTCGGGTATAGAAATAGACAAAACGAAGTCGAACTCGAGTTGAGGGTGTACCTGATCAAATTATGCGAGAGAATATTTTGTGGCGTAACTACAACAGGGACTACACCAGTCAATATACCCAGACGGTTTAAAAAACTGGGATTTTAATGCCAAATATTTATACAGCTTACTTTATTTATTAATAAGCAACTTACAACAATAATTTTATAAAAACATAAAATCAACTCTTATTGTTATTAATTATATATTGCTATTAATCTTACTTATAAAATATATGTGATGAAGAAATGACAATTACAACACGAAATCTACAAGAAAAAATATCTAAAGTTTTTTTTCTATATTTTTGATTAGACGTTTTTAAGTTATTATATCTTTACTTTCTATAAAATTATACACGGTGGCGCACCTCATTCGTCTCGGTTGATCATACGAAAAGGGAAAGATGTAGAAACAAAATTTTTTATGGGTATCTGTAGACAGGCAATATGCATAACTTAAAATTATTTTCAAGTGTACAGGGTGTGTCAGAACTAAGATCCATACCAAAGTTATATTTTTCCTTATGGAACACCAGCTATTTTATTTCATTTTTGGATTCTTGGGCATAAAATAAGGCATTTATTATAAGTGTTTAATATGTTTAAATGCTTTGGTTTTTGAGATATTCAAAGATATTTAAATATGCACGATATAATAAAAAAGTTTGTCAACACCCTGTATATTACTTTTCAGAGTTAATTCTTGTGCTGACTTTGAAGCCAAAGAAATAAACTTTGCTAAAAAAAATATTGCTTCCTTAAATGTATACAGGGGCATCAAACATTGCTGGTCTATTTTAAATATCTAGGTTACATCAAAACTTTGTTATTTCAAATACAACACTATGTATTTTTTATAATAGGTCGAAGCAGATATAAATGCTCCTTCAAACTATATTAGGGTTTCCTATACCTATCTGGCTCAGATTTTGAATAAAACGCGATTTTTCAACAAAATAGCAATCAAGATGGCTGGTTTGGCCATGGCAATTTGCTAGTGACAGGTAGTAGCTATTTTCAAAAACGACCTTAGTGTATGGACTTTATTTAAATTTATTACAGTTTACTTTTATTTAATTTACCTACAATAGTTTAATAAGTAAGAAGTATTTAATATTTTAGCAAGAAAAATAAAAAAGTAGTTCTTTGATTTATATTACGATGACTTGTAGATATATTGGATTTTCTATAAAAGAACCAATTAAGGCAAATTCATTTTCTGCACTTCCAACGACAGGTTTCTGTCTAATAGATTTTTTACATACCACACTATCAGTTTTGCGAAATAGGAAAAGTAGTATTTCAAGGGAACTCTTGTCAAGAAAATTCCTATTTAAATATCTTTGAGAAACCCTTCAGATCAACCAAGCAATTGTCCTCACAAAATAAAATAACTACTAACATATCCATTCCTTCCGTCAGCAGATACTGCTTCATTTTTCTTGATAAAATAATAAATACTTACTTATTAACTTTATTGTAGGTAAATTAAATAAAAATAACCTGTTATAAATTTAAATAAAGTCCATAAACTAATGTCGATTTTGAAAATAGCTACTAAGTGTCACCAGCCATCTTGATTACAATTTTATTGAAAAATCGCTTTTTATTCAAAACCTGAGCCAGATAGGTATAGGAAACCCTAATATAGTTTGAATGAGCATTTGAATCTGCTTCGATTTTATTTTAAAAAATACAGGGTGTTGTATTTGAAATAACAAAGTTTTTATGCAAAATAACTATTTAAAATAGACCAGCAATTATATTGATACCCCTGTATACATTAAACGAAGCAATCAAATTTTTCAGTAAAGTTTATTTCTCTACCTTTGAACTCAGCACAAGAATTAATTCTGAAAAGCAATGTACAGGGTGTGAATAATATATTCTATTGTAGCATGCATTTTTAAAAATCTTTAAATATCTAAAAAACCAAAGATTTTAAACATATTTAACCCTTATAATAAATTCCTTTTTTTTGAGCATAAGAAAAAATGAAATAAAATACCTGGTGTTCCATAAGAAAAAATATAACTTTGGTATGGATCTTAGTTCTGAAACACCCTGTATATTTCAAAATAATTTTGAATTGTGCACATTGTCTTCCCACATATACCCATAAAATATTTTGTTTCTACGTCTTTCCGTTTTCGTATAATCAACCGAGGTGAATGAGGGGCCCCACCCTGTGTAACCTGTTGTAAGCTATGTTACATCAAAATTTTTGTTGCGATTCTTCTATCAATCTTCAGACAGTCCAGCATCAGTGTTTGAGTATCAGCTCTGTCTAAAAGATATTTCTTGATATTTTCTGTTTTGTTCTCATTTGATTTGTTCAATGCCTCTAGACTATTATTACGGGAAAAATCAATTGAACTGAAATAGGGACTCATTATTTTTGAGACTCGTGATTTATCTATCTTCACATTTAAAAAAAAAACAATCAAAAAAAATACCCTTTAAAATGATAAACTACAACTGGGCATACTTGCGATTTTAGATATTATAATCTTACTATTAATAATAATGATTTCTTTTGTAGACAATTCTGGACTAAACATATCTGTTTGGATTTATCCTGCTATATCGAATATTACAGATTATAAGTTTTCTATTGGCATTACACCAGTCACATATTTTGCTCAAGATCTGTTTCAGAATGCAATTAAATGCACCTTCTTTGTCGAGGTAATAGGTAAGATATTTAAGAAGTAATGTTGATTAAATGAAAAAAAAATATGTAAAACAAGTATTTAAACAAATATAATACTAGGATGGGCCGAAAATTTGAACTTTGAAAATTTGCTTTGGAATAGTGCGGAAAAGTTGCGTCTTGTTATTCCAATAAAAATGTTTATTACCGGTTTTTTAATTGTAGTGCGTCTTGTACCCCCGACCAGAACTAAAAAAAATCCAAAATTTTGAAAAATTTATTCATGAAATTTTGATTTGGAATAGAGCGCAAAATTTGTCTTACCTGATTCCAACAAAAATATTTATTTACAGTTTTTTTATTACATTACGTCTTCTGCCCCCTACCGGACCGGAAACTTTAAGAGAAAATAAAAATTCATTTTTTTTTGGAAAAACGTGTATTATCTACGTTATAGTTTGTAGCTTTTAAATTATTAGCCTAAAAATTAGGAAGAACAAATAAGAAACCTCATTATTGGAGGTAATAAAAAAATTATAACAAATAAATTTACTGTAAAAAGTCCTTTCAAAATTGGGCATTAATTTACGAGATTAACGCCCAATGTTTTTATAAATCCATCCCTCTTTTTGGAACCAATTACTGATAACGAAACTTCCGTAACCACCTTCACGCATCTTTCCACCGCTTGAGTGCGACAAGGATAATGTGGAACCTCAAAATTTTTGTTCTGTATTTATTTTATTATTTCTTTTAATTCTTCAACTTCTACGTTACTAAGTAGAGGGGGCGAAGTTATTGTGATGTTTTGCCAGTCTGTTAAATTGGTATAGTCATCTGCATCCAGATTTAGTAGCGGTATTATAAATGGACGAATTTCTCCTGGATCTTCTCTTTTCTTCCCATTTAAAATACGTCGCATTGCTAGCTCTCTAATGTAGAGGCGGAGGTCACTTATCATACTTACTAACATGTTTTCCGGGTGTGCAAAAACGGCACTGCGTTGTATGACTGGATCTATAATTGCTCGCAAATTATCCTGTTAATATCGTGTTAGTTGAATGGTTTGCCAAACATGTTTTGCACCATTTTTACAAGATGGGTTCGATTTAATAATTATAAACCACATCGGCGCATAAACTCTCAATATAAAAGTTGTCAAATATTTTAAATTCGAGTTGGGGTTTTCGGTGGCAATATACAGCCCTAATAGGCGGTTTGCCAAAGTAAGCCATCGGGATGATTTTTCCTGGATTTTGGTTCGCTAAATTTGCAGAACATTGTCCAGAGGATATTGCACGGCAAATTTTGAACAGATATCTCTGATCCGTACTTAATTCACAAAAATCTAGTTCGGGTAATTTACAGTCAATAACTCAAATTGAATAACTGTTAAATTTTCACATTGAAGTAACAACTTACCCAGTGTCCCTGCAAACGCCTTGGTGCCGGTTGTTCGGCCATCAATATGCTGAAAAAGATGTCGCAATGGTAATTCATTTCCATGAAGCTGGCAGATAAATCGTTATAAAGGACGTCCTTGCTTCACTTCAAGTAGATAAATGGCCCCGGTTTTTTGATCCTGTATTGACTACTGTTCCAGTATCCCTGCAAACGCCTTGGGGCCGGTTATTCGGCCATCAATATGCTGAAAAATATATCGCAATGGTAATTCATTTCCATGAAGCTGGCAGATAAATCGTTGTAAAGGACGTCCTAGCTTCACTTCAAGTAGATAAATGGCCCCGGTTTTTTGATCCTGTATTGACTACTGTTCCATCAAACCCCACTGCTAATAAGCCTGACAATTCATGGTTCATTTTCTTGTAAGAAGTCAACTATACTTCGAACTAGGTCTTTTGCTGATCCTGAAGAAGGCGTTGTATGGTCTAGAAACACTGAGCCTGGCTCTTGTACCAAAGTAATATGTTCTTTTACCAACGTTTTCCTATGAGATCTCTCATCTTTTTTTTTTCAATAATCAAAGTTTTGTCTTTCCGACCGTCAAAGTAAATTGCATTTATCGGTTGATATTTTAAGGAACCTTCAAGTTTATTTCTAACATTTTCTCTAGCTCTTCTTAACTTATTTTTGTCTATTACTTGTACTGAACTGTCTTTTGTTACAATTCCAACATCTTGTAAAACAGCGGTAGCTACCGCTGCTGCAGATCTGTCTGATAATCCATATCTATCACATACTTTAGAAAGTGTAGGTAGTTGAAGTGTATTTTCAGTAGTTTGCATTTTAGTTATGAGGTTAGTTTAAAATGTTTAGATTTATTAAGAGTAGGGGGCAGAAGGCGTAATGTAATAAAAAAACCGTAGGTAAATACATATTTTGTTAGGAATAATAAAAGAAAATTTTTGAGAGGTATTCCAAATCAGAATTCTAAAATTTGATTTTCAAAATTTTCGGAAATTTTCAAGTTCTGGCAGAAGACGTATTACAATTGAAAAACTCATAATACACATTTTTATTGGAATAACAAAAGGCAACTTTTCCTCACTATTCCAAAACAAATATCCAAAATTTTTGAAAATAACGCCTTTTCGGCCCACCCTAATCAATAGTTATTAAAAGGTTATTTTATAAAATGCGTTGTAAATTTAACATTTACTTTTTTAACTAATTACTAAAATGCCATATGATCGAAAAGAAAGCAGCGTCAAAGGTCAAAGACGGCTGCGGAATGACAATCGATGATAATTTTGGCGAGGTCAATATAATGAAGAAAATGACAACCTATAGATTGTCATTTCTAGAAAGTAATTTAGTAAAAATTGACATAAAACTTAACACTAAAATTAAAACTATTTTAGAAAGATTAAAAAAGGATAGAACGTTTCCAGACATAAAAATCTATTTCCAAAAAAAAAATTCGGAGAAAAGAGTTCTACGGGGGTCCCCAAAAAAGTTACACATCAAAGTTGTATTTTTTGTAATGGAACATCCTATATATTAATTGATTTTCGAATTCTAGGAGAAAAATAAAGGTGAGTTTTATTAAAGTATATGACTAAAATGTAAGGTTTTATGACTTCTTAAACATTTCTGAGAATGAAGCACAATTTTTAAATTCCAATAAAAGCTACCTAAATTGAAATTTACCCGGTATAGTCTAATATGTAGTTAAAATAACTGTTGTATTTTAAATCAAATTAAAAATTGACCCAAAAAGTTATACAGGGTGAGACAAAATTAATATTGAACGTTGGTCACCTCTAAAGACAAGTTACACTTTTATTTTAAATTGAACATCCAGTATATTATTCCAATATTCAATGGAGAATTTATGTCTCTTCAAAATACTATTAGGGATACCTCTAAAACAAAGATTTTCCTAGATATTTTCGTTTTTGTGATTTAGTGTCAGTAGATCTTTATTATTTAACAATATCTAGTTGGCTGTGATATGTCTGACGTTACTTCAACATACCTGTAATAATAGATCTAAATAGATCAATTTTAACGACTAGTTATCATTTTGCGTCAGTTAAAACAAAAAATATTCTCAGAAATTTGCCGAAACTTATCCTACGTCAGAGATAATTGATATGATTCTATTAGTTGGTGAATGTAGTGTGCATTCACCAATTAACCTAACCAATTAATAACGCCACCTAACCTAACCAATTAATAGAATACTTAAATGCTCCTTATTTTATCTAGTCTTAGATATTTTTATGCGGATATGGTTAAAGAAAGTGATTACAAAACTCCACCAACTATTGTCGACAACATGAGACAAATAACTGTAGCTGCTTTTCGAAGTAGAACTTCACACATGCCTTTTAACATGAAAATATCTTTTGAAAAGAGAATAATTTTATGCAATTAACAGAAAAGGAAGCATTTTGAGCATTTGATATTTAGTTTTAATTCTGTAATAATAAAACTATGTCTTAAACGGCGTATCTTTTTATTACCGTTAACTATTTTACTCTGCGTCCTTTAATTTTTATCCAATTAACAAAACCTCACGCAAAATCACAAAAATGAAAATATCTAGGAAAATCTTGAATCCATTGAATGCCGGAATAATATACGGGGTGCGGGGTGTTTTATTTAAAATAAAGGAATAATTTGCTGTTAAATGTGACCAATATTCAATATTAATTTTGTCTCACCCTGTATAACTTTTCGTGTCAAATTTTAATTTGGTTTAACATAAATATAAATAGATATTACGAGTATAATTAAATATCAGGCTATATAGGGTAAATAGCAATTTAGGTAGCTGTTATTGAAATTTAAAATGTATTCTTAATTTTCACAAAATGTAAAATATCTCAAAATCCTTACGTTTTAGGCATATGCTTCTTTAATAAAACTCATCTCTATTTTTTACCTCGAACCCGAAAATCAATTAATATATAGGGTTTTCCATTACAAAAAACATAACTTTGATGCGTAACTTTTTTTGGCAACACTCTGTAGAACTCTATATTAGGGTGGAACGAAAAAAAATTTTTTCCAAAATATTTTCACACAAGCCTCAAAATGTGCCTTTAGATAAGTAATTTTTTTTCTCAACAGCTGAGCGCCCTGCTTTGTATCTTCAGGTTCCTCACGGGCCTTAAAAGCTGAGATATTTTGAAAAATATTTGTTTTTTTTTGCCCGTCAACATATTTGATAATTATTTATCTTTTACCTTTAACACACTGCTTAATATGACTATAAAATATAACACAATAATGTTATCCAAACTAAATCACTTAAATTAATGTTTTCCAGTTCCTCAATATATTTGAAACTTGTCCACCTGCATGATAAACTACCATCCGTGGCACTTGCCTGTGACAAAACTGGAGTTTCAGATCACGCTGCCGCTATAATCGCAAGTTCTGTTTTAGAGGATATTGGAGTAGTGTCTAAAAGCAGTTCTACACAGATAGTAGATAGAGTGAAGATCAGGAGGGCCAGAATGTCTCAACGTAACGTTTGTACTAGTGTATTAGGTGAAATGTCGTTATTAGGCGTGTTTTTTGATGGTCGAAAGGACTCTACTATTATTTACGATAAGAATAAAAGGAAGGGAAAACGCGTTGTGGAAGAACATATTTCGATTCTAAGTGAACCCGGAACCCGGTTCTAAGTATTTGGACCATGTCACACCGGAAAGCGGATCTGCATGTCATATAAAACGGTCTTTGGTTAATTTCTTGAAAGAAAAGTTTGACTTGACAGAACTTTCTGATTTAGTAGCAGTTGGGACAGGTGGAACTGTTCTGAATACGGGAGTGAAAAATGGCGTTATTCGTTTGTTGGAAAAAGAATTGAAACGTCCCTTACAATGGTTAATTTGTTTATTCCATTTAAATGAACATTGCGACATTGAGTAAAAGTACTAGATGGTGAAACTTCTGGTCCCGGTGGTCTCAAAGGTGTTATTGGACAGAAACTAGATAACTGTGAAACCGTAGTTATTGTAAAATTCAGAAGACTTGAAACTGTCTAATAACACAGAATTGAAACTGTCTAATAAAACACACCTAATAACGACATTTCCCCTAATACACTAGTACAAACGTTATGTTGAGATATTCGGGTCCTCCTGATCTTCATTCTATCTACTATCTGTGTAGAACTGCTTTTAGACACTACTCCAATATCCTTTAAAAAAGCATTTGCGATTATAGCGGCAGAGTGATCTGGAACTCCAGTTTTGTCACCAGCAAGTGCCACGGATGGTAGTTTATCATGCAGGTGGACAAGTTTCAAATATATTGAGGAACCGGAAAACAATAATTTAAGCGATTTAGTTTGGATAACATTATTGGGTTATATTTTATAGTCATATCACAGATTATACAGATTATAATCTTTGTTTTTTCTTTATTGTTTTTCGTGGTTCCAATTTTCGGAATCGGGCACTAGTTAGGTGACTAGTTTGCGCACATAGCACGCCCACGTATGGCCTCTAAAATTGTGCACAGCGCCTGACCGGCACAGTTATTAGAGAGATATCGGAAAACCGAATAGCGTTATCCAGTATTTACGCGTACCTTATCATGGTTACGATATGCGCGAGTCAATTTTTAACGCAACACCCGCTAATAACATTACCGCCTGACGTAATTTGCGGATCAATTACACTAAGCGCTCTTTCTAAATAACCTCTGATAACGTTTAAAAATTGCTTAAATGGGCATGTGCGGGTATTTGACAACCGGAGCCGGCCGGCGAGATCTTTTATTTTAGGTTATGTTTGAATTGTTTTGAATTATTGCTTTAGTTTTATTAGGTAATTTGATATTTAAGTAGCTGGGATTAGTTTTAATTAAATAAGTATGGCCCAAAATATGGATTCCACCTCTTCCAATACTAAAGAACCTATAAAGAGTCTTAGGTTTACAGAGACTAAGAGAATTTGTTGCTTGTTGCCCTAAACCCATTGTCAGACGTTGAACAATAAAGCACTGGAAATAAGCACTTTAGCCCTTTGTTTTTAAAATACCTAGTAAACAAAACAATTTCAAAGTTTTAAATTCAAAGTTAGATTAAGTTTAAATGGCGGACGCGACGCGATCAGAATTCTTTCCGATCCGATAACTATAAATGAACCAAACCAAACCAAACCAAACCAAACTATAAATGAAGAGAGTTAATACCACCTCACGTAAAGGAAATAACACCTGGCCTTATTAACGTCCATGCACGCTATTCGGTTTAGCGATATCTCTCTATTACGCTGTTTATTGTTATTTTACGCGAGTTTATTTTTCCGCACAGGAAATTTGACTCGTTTGCACATCGTCATAAAAAACAATTTTCGTACGAATTAGGGACAAGATTTTTATCTGTATACTTATAGGATACCTAATCTGTGGTCATATTAAGCAGTGTGTTAAAGATAAAAGATAAATAATTATCAAATATGTTGACGGGCAAAAAAACAAATATTTTTCAAAATATCTTAGCTTTTAAGACCCGTGAGGAACCTGAAGATACAAAGGCAGGGCGCTCAGCTTTTGAGAAATAAAAATTACTTATCTAAAGGCACATTTTGAGGCTTTTGTGAAAATATTTTGGAAAAAAGTTTTTTTTTGTTCTACCCTACTCTATATATTTTTATAAAATGTTTTCATTTAATATAAATTAACTATATATGTTCCCAAAATTTAATTTCGATATAAACTACCGTTTTTCTTGGAGCCTCCGCGTCGCGCGTCGTATGTGAGGCGCTATCCTGTAGTAACATTTCATATTAAAAACAATAAGTTATTTATGACACCTTTATTTTTAGATGAAGAACCGCCTGTAATTGAAGGTTGTATAAGTCCCCCTACTTTTTTAATAAATTCTAGAATCGGGGAAAATATAACATGGGACGAACCTTATATTTTCGATAATTCGAAAAATTTCACCGTAAATAAAACGCATGATTTTGGAACTTTTAAAATTGGAACCACCTTGGTGACGTACACTGCAAAAGATTTTTCGGGTAATATCAATATATGCAACATCAATATTACTGTGGAAGGTAAGTTAAACATTAGGATCGAGTAGTGTAAAAATGAAACACGCCATATTTAGGTGAAAAATGAGACATTCAAATCTTCTTCTTCTTTACGTGCCGTCTCTTTCGTGGAGGTTGGCGATCACATTGACAAAATCTTCACGATTCTCGGCTGTCCTTATGAGTTCTTCAAAAGTTAGGTGAATCCAGTTTCTGATGTTTCTCAACCAAGATAGTTTCTTCCTGCCGAGACCTCTCTTTCCTTCAATCTTACCCTTAACTATCAATTGTAAGACGTGGTATTTTTCATTTCTCAATATATGCCCTAAGTATGATGTTTTTCTTATTTTTATTATATTGAGCAATTCTCTTTCTCTGCCTATTCTGTTGTAGACTTCGGTATTTGTCATATGGGCTGTCCATGGAATTTTAAGCATTCTTCGATATATCCATGTTTCGAACGATTCGAGGCGATTCACCTCTTGAACTTTCAGTGTCCATGTTTCTGCTCCGTATAATAGGATTGACCAAACATAACACTTAACGAGCCTAGTTCTCAACTGAAGGTCCAATCTGGGGTTCTGGAAGGCGTTCTTTATTTTTAAAAATGCATTTCTCGCTTGTTCGGTTCTGGTTTTTATTTCCACGTCGTTGTTCAAGGTGTTAACTATCCAGGACCCCAAATATTTGAACTTGTAGACCTGTTCTAAGATATAGCCCTCTATTTTAATAGGAATTGGTATATTTTGGTTCTTTCCAAATACCATGACTTTAGCTTTAGAAGAATTGATCTTCATCCCGTATTTCTTACAGGAGCCTTCAAGTCGTTCCACTAAACACTGGATACCAGTATCAGAGTGGGCAAATAAGAACTGTATCATCGGCAAATCTAATGTTGTTAATGACTTTGCCGTTGACTTTAATGCCGCAATCTGTTGAAGCTTCCCGAAAAATCGCCTCAGAATAAACATTAAATAACGAAGGAGACAGCACACATCCCTGTCTTACTCCTCTCTGTATATTGACTGGATTGGAATTGTCATTTTCAACTTTCATGTGGGCTGTTTGTTGCCAATATATATTTTTCAGAAGTGTTACATCTTTGCTGTCAACTCCCAACTCATACAACATTTCGATAAGTCTCGTATGTTTGACTCTATCGAATGCTTTTTCGAAATCTACGAAACACACATACATTGGTTTTTGTTGGTCTGTACACTTCTGCGCCATCAATTGTAAACAGAATAAGGCCTCTCGTGTTCCTAGTCCACTCTTAAACCCAAACTGTTCATAGCCGCTTTCTTGCTCACACTTCTCATAAATTCTGTTATGTATTATTTTAAGTAATACTTTAGTGCGTGACTCATTAAACTAATAAGTCTGTAGTTACTGAGATGTCGAGTTGATGGTTTTTTCGGAAGCGGTACAAATGTTGAGTGAAGCCAGTCATCAGGTACTTTTCCTCTATCATAGATCTTGTTAAAAAGCCTAGTCAGTATATCTACGTTCTCTTCTGATATTAATTTAAGTATTTCTGGATATATATATCGTCAGGGCCTGGACTTTTGTTGTTTAATTGCCTGCAATTGTTTAAGTTGTTTAATTGCACTATTGAGATTTTCTGGTCCTTGATCAACCGTTAGTCTTACTGTTGGTTCTTCTCTATAGTCATTATAAAGTGCTTTCATGTGTTGTTCCCATACTTGTATTTTTCTTGTACGGTTGAACACAGTGTACCATCTGAGTTACTAATTGTTAGAGGTTAGAGGACAAAAACGTTGTGCTGGTCCAGTTAATTCTTTTATTTTTTTGTGTAATGTAAATGAGTCGTGTTTCTTTTGTAACTTCTCTAATTCCACGCACTTCTCTGAAATCCACTTTTCTTTAGCTGTGATTATTGCTTAAATAAATCTACTAAAAAGATATATTCAGTCAGTTTTCTTATTAGGAACATTTGACAATAATTGTTAAGAGTTCATCCCCATAATTTCTTGTGTTATGAATCATAGAAAAACTGAAATTACAAATCCATTGTCGAAGTAGTAATAGGTTACGGTATATGGCCTAGAAAGTTATGTCCGTTTAAATTAAGTCCTCTTGGTATGAGGAGCTATTTTTGGGCTAAATTTGATACACACACCGGGTTAATAATGAGAAAAGGTAGGGGTAAATATGAGATAACTTAATAGCTTGTATATTTTTAAATTTTAGTCGCAACTGAAAACTAACAAAAAAATGCAAAGAAATCAAACAAGTATACAGAAAAAGATTTTAAAAGGCTGCAAAGTCAGCAGTCAAAGCCTTTCATGTTGATCAAAACTGTAGTTACTGAGATAAATAATGTTTTAAAGAAACATATTGTTTTAAAATTACCACCGACAAATTTGCAAAACAGGACTTCTAGGACTGCTGAGATGTTTGCTTTTTAATAGATTTTGAGAAATGTTTAGTCCTTTAATTGGTATACCTGTATTTTTTTCCACTCTTTAAGTGACACTATTCTGCTATTAATATTTTAATGCATATATAAATGAAACAAGTTTATATTGGAATGCTCGGCTTGCCTCCAAAACTTTAATAAGGGTAAAAAACTTAATTGTTTTGAGGTTCATACGTTGTACAGGATCTGGCGCTGCTATAGCGGTTACTAAGAACAACCGTAAACAAGAACAGGAATATTTTTTTTCTTATCAAAGTCAAAAACTTCAAAAATTATAAAATCTTTCAAAGTTTAAACTGCCCTCATTAAAAAAATACCGAAAAGTGTTAAAGCGTCCATTTTCAAAGTAATTATTGCTATCTTGTGAGTTTAATTTAAATTTTATTTACTCAAACCCGTGATAATTGTGAAAAAGTAGCATTAAAAACTGAAAAAGCTGTGTGAACTGTGAACTGCAAAAACCATCATGAATGGGTTTGCATAACATCGGTTTCCAATGTTTCATAGATATTTCATACATCTCCTTATATAAAATAAAGTTTTTTTTATACAACACACTGTATTTTATTTAAAAAATTAAAAGAACATAATAAATTTGAATAAACAATATTTGGCGGGAAAAGCCGAACCGCGCCGAAATTATCAAAAGCTTTGGAGAGCCACCGTTATAAGAATAGCGCCAAATAATATTTACATTGTCCTTATGGGCACTTTCCAATCTAAACTTGTTTCCTTTATCTATGTTTTAATGTTACTTATTAACTACATATTTTCGTCATTTTTAATTTAATAAAATTGTTTTACATTTTCACTTTATAAATGTTCTGCGGCCGTGTATTTTCACTGAATTTTTTATTTGAATTATATGTAGGTGCTCTTTATTAGTTTAGATTTTTTTAATTTCAGTTCTACTAATAAAAAAGATACATTTCTATGTCTTATTTCTATCCTCCTTTCTATCTTTACTTCACCATTTAATATAAACGATAGCAGGGCCTTTGCAGGGTAAATTGAGATTTACCGAGCTTGTCTTATTTTTAGACTTTTTATGGGTTAATATGATGGTTGTAGCTAAGAAAAAACCTAAAGTATATACAGTAAGATGTATATTAAAAGTTTTGAAAAATGTTTCATTTTTGCCCCACTTTAATTAAATTTATTCGCTATCATAAAGAACTAAAATTTATTTTAATTATTATTTAAATTTTCATTATGACAGAATCCTATTGTGTTGATTTACCATCGCCATCCAATGGTCAGTCAAATTGTACCGACATTTCCAGTGGTATGCGCTGTCTTATTACTTGTCAAGATGGATACGCTGTTCCACTACATGCTCCCATTGCCACAGATATGTCAGAAAATGGTACTAGTTTTATATGCAGTCATGGGGATACTTCTTGGTACAATCAACCCATTTCTGACGGGTTTATTTTCCCTGAATGTTCAAGTAAGTATCGCATAAGTGAATGTTTCTTACAGTGATTTTTTTTATAAAAAATATTTATAATGGTACACATTCTCAGAAAACTTGTAGGAAATTGATATATTACTCTTAGAATCGTTCTGTAATTTTGTATTCAAAACATAGAATCATGTATTATGTTTTCAGTTACTACAGTTCCAGACGTAGTTGAACAGGAAGGAGATATAAATATCCCTTTAGACAATTTTACATGCAATGATACAAATAAAATAGAAGAGGTAAGTAGTTTAAGATATAGGCTAAAACTATATGAAAACATGGGTGTATAGCTGTACCAAATCTTTGGATTTGACTGTCATATTCCTATTGGATTTGACTGTCATACTCTTAGTCATATGTTCACAGTCATATGCTTCTTCAATGAAATTCATCTACACCCTCACCTGTACCCTGTACCCCCCTTTTATATACACAGGGTATGTGTATATACAGGGTGTATATAGGTACATATGCTCACAGTCATATGCTTCTTTAATGAAATTCACCTACACCCTCACCTGTACCCTCCTTTTATACAGGGAGTCGCAGAAATAAGTGCAAACATTTTAACTGGTAGTATAATTCAACCCCAGAAACGCCTATGAAGCGACAAAAAAATTGTGAAAATTCGAAATTTTTTGAATTTTTTTTGAATTTTTTTTTAGTTTTTAGTTAAAAAACATAATTTCTTGATAATATGGCAACATAGGTATTAGATTAAATTTACAAGAAATTTATAAGAAGAAAGAAGAAGAAGAAAATCTAGAAAAGATCCAGTGATTTTCAAAATTTTAGCAAAAAATCATTTTTTTTTAATTTTCAAAGTAAAACAACTCCGTTATTTTGGACTTATTTGAAAAACGATAAAGAGAAAATATGTTTCTTTTATCGAGATCTACCACCCCTTAAAATATTTGCACTTATTTCTGGGACACCCTGTATACACGCTCGATAACAACTTCTTTTGTATACTAGGCCACTGTGCACAGGGTGTCCCATTTTCGTGTGTTTTATGGGGTTTCTTTTGTATGAGTAGAGATACAAAGATAAGACGCCACACACAGATTTGCCCTAGCCTTTTTGTTCTCTAAAATACAGGGCGAACTTGATTGTATTTCCCGACCTCCTTTGTATCTCGATTATCTTATAACTTATTGAAAAGGTGAAAACTGAGTTTCGTAGAGGTTTTACGCGTTGAATCCAATGGCGTAACTAGTTTTTTGTTGGGAGCTGCCATTTTCGAAATATGAGTCAAACTTATGTGTTTTTATATGGGACAACCTGTAAATTATCTTTATTATTTTATTTAGCTTGATAAGCATTATGAGCTGTGTAAAACTATAATATACTCTATACTTCTTTTCATTAATAAGGTAAGAAAATGCTTTATTTCAGTTTTTTTACATAAATCAACCTAGTTTAAAAGAATGTATTATTATTATATTTCATTTTATTTAATTTAAGCAGATACTTTTGCTTTCCATCGTTTTGTCTTATTAATAAACTGCACTGAAAATAAACTTGTGCAGCTTTTAGATAACACGCTGTTAATCAGAGTTATTGATATTTTTTGATACACATATGCAATTAGTCTACATACAGAAACAGAAACTAATAGCATGGAATAGCCAATAACCAAAATTTGACGTCGAATAAATTTTATTTGATTGTTTTTATTACCTTGATTTGTTTTATTTGATTTACCTTGCTTTCTTCATTTGAATAAGGCAAATAAGATAAAAAAATATATACAAGGTATCCCATTAAAAAAATAAGTTTAGGTCATATATCAAGAATTAGGGCTTCCAGCGGACATTTACTTAAATTCTACGTGAGCAAGTCTATGAAACTCGATTTTTACCTTTTCGATAAGTTATAAGATCACCGAGATACAAAGGGTGTCGAAAAATGCAACATTTTCATATTCGCCCGGTATCTCAGGATCTAAACAGGCTTTAGTTTCATAAAAAAAGTAGCACAGTAGTGATGGGCATTACCACTCTTTTTAGTGAATCGAATCACACGATTCAATTTATTCATATTGAATCGACTCCTACGATTCGTTCATTTGAACGAACCACATGCACAATTTACATTTCATAAAAACAAGAATCGTAACTGTCTCTACCGGCGATAATTTGGTAGGACAATTACTTAATGGACCAGAAAAAGAAATATACAGTTCTTTAATTTGTTTTTCAACACTTTATGACATTGACGTAATTGGATTGATATTTTACCAGTAATAAATTAATAATAATTTATAAATAACAATTTATAACTAATCAATCCAACTTATATATATTATTTATTAAAGACTTCTTAATACCAATTTAATATATTTGATATTTTTTATTTATTATACTATTGATTATGATTTAATAATCATAATCAATAGTATATAATACCGCATGATCGAAAAAAATGGCATCCGGATGGCTTGGAAATGAACATCTATGACATTCCCCATATAATTTTAGATATAATATGACAGCGATCTTTATTTTAGAATCATCGCTGACGCCGCGCGCCGTTTTTTATCACATTGAGCAGAGGCCAACAATATTTATTTGGAGTTGCATAAAAACACGATTTCGTCTCTTAGTCAGACATTTAATAGTCGGTAATATTATTTTAACAAAAATCTTAATGTAAAAATTAAATACCTTACAAATACTCCCGTACTAAGCACATCAGTATAAATAAGTTTTTTCTTGTAAATACCTTTCTTATCATTTGCATTTTATGCTCATGATGTTTGTTTAGCGCTTTTGTTCAAGTCTAAATATTGTTGCCTGCATCTATGTCTATATCACTGCCGTAGAAATGAACGATCGCATTGTGATCCGATTCAATTCTCACGATTCTTTTTTACGGCTCATCGTTGAAATCTTATGGATCCTTGCTGGCCACGATTCAATTGAACGTACCGTATTCTAACCAGTGAATCGAATCTCACTATTCATTTTTAATACTCGTTCAAATGAACGACTCGTTCAATCTTTGCCCACCTCTATAGCACAGCGATGTAAAAACCGCACCTTTATATCTTGACTCATTAACGAGAAATCCTGTAAAACACATGAAAAACACCCTGTATATTTAGTTGATTTTATATATTGGATATTTTTTGCTCAAGAAAGTTCTGGCAATTGGCATTTTTTTGTTTAATATCTTTCAGATTGAAAACAATATCAAAGAAAATTTTGAAAATGAAATTTGTACTGGCAACTGTAAAACAAATCTTACTTCAGACTGTTTGGACGAGCAACTCGAGGAAGAAACAAATGCAATAGTGAAAAAGAGAAGAAGGTCGATACCGCCAGAAGAAACAAAAGGAAATATGAATTCTACTAATGAAGTACTACATAAAAACATAAGGATGAACAGAAGAAACAAAAAAAGACTGAACGTCAAATTTCAGCTAAGAGGAAAATTGAAAATTAGTACCAAGCAAATTAACGTAACTTCATCGCATATAAATGGTACTATTACAGTAAGAAAAACTATTTTTACTTGTCCAGTAGGTTTTATACCAAGGAAAAATAGATGCGGTAAGGAAACTATTAAAAAATTAAATTATGAACTGGCACATGCATATCAATATACAGGGTGGCGCCTCTCTTACGCCGCAGAAGCTCCAAGGAGAACGGTAGTTAATATAAAAATGAAATTTTGGCAGCATATGTAGGTTAACTGAAAGCATTTTATAAAAAATATATAGAATTATACAGGGTGTCCCCAAAAAACACCCTATATATTAATTGATTTTCGGATTGTAGGAGAAAAATAAAAGTGAGTTTATTAAAGAAGCATATGCCTAAAATGTAAGGATTTTGACATATTTCACATTTTATGAAAAGGAAGAGTAAATTTTAAATTTCGATAATTAGTGGGGTGCCCAGAGACATTCCTCGGAATTCAATTACTGTAAATGTATTAATGTGAAACCTTCTGTATTGTGTTTTATAGATAAAATACTAAAATGTTTGCCCATTTTTTTTCGTTGCTTTTAATTTTTTATTTTATTAATTTTAGTAAATTCTTAATTATTTCTTTCTTAATATTTTAATTTTTCTAATTCTCTTTCTAAGTAAATTTATTGAAATAAATATATCTAATGCATAAGTTATACCTATTCTGCTTATATTCTAATCATTGAAATTTTGATTGAAACCGAATTATGCCGGGTGGCGCGTCATATACGACGCGGTTTTTGCAAGGAAAACAAGAGTTTGTATTGAAGTGAAATTTTGTGAGCTTATGTAAGTCAATTTAAAGCCTTTTCTAAAATTATGTAGAGTTCTACAGGGTGTCCCCCCAAAAAATTACACATCAAAGTTATGTTTTTTGTAATGGAACACCCTATATATTAATTGATTTTTGGATTCTAGTAAAAAAATAAAGGTTTGTTTCATTAGAAAAGTATATGACTAAAATGTATAGTTTTTTAAATACATTCACCGGCACGAAAAATGGGCACTTTGATGTATTTTAAAGGTTAATATATTTTATTTTATTGGGCCGATTTTGATGATTTTTTAAGCAGTCTGTTGCTAAATTATTTGACTTTTTAGTATCTTTTTCTAAATTAAAAATGAAACTCCCTATCTGTTAATTATACGAGGGAAAACAAAATGTTGATATTTTGGTGAAAGTTTGAAACACCCTGTGAAATATGTTAAAACAGCCAGAAATTTAAACATTATTTTATCATCTAGATACATCCTTTCTCGATGGTTTGTTTTTTGGTTCATCTCATTAGCTTTATTTTTGTTCGATATATTCGGTTTTAAAGAAGGCACTAACATTTTTTGCAAGTTTTAAATTAAAACTATACCTTTACTTTTGGGCCTAGTCAACACATCTAGTAAGTTCTAGTCCCGAAGCGGGCCTTCTTGACATAATATTTGCTTCATTTAATCTTCTTCTTGTAGTCCGTTAGTTAGTTTTCTTTCGTGACCGGGACAATTACTTTTTAAAAAACAACACAGAGACTTGATCAGTTTATTAATATGTTTGGTTGAACAGTACTAACAAAAAGATGAGAAAATATAAATGTAACTTATATTTATAGGCTTCTACTGCTGAGGTAGCAGTGACGTCAAAGGCGGGTGACGTACCCAGCTACGTGGATATAATTCCTCCCTCACAAGTGGAAAATTCTGGGGTTCGGTGCAGGATTTTCCTGGAGTGGAATTTCTTCTTTTTCTTCTAAAATTCTTCTTTTAAATTTGTTAAATATCTGACATTTATACAATATATAAATTAAAACAAATATAAATAAAACATACATTATAATAACCCAAATATTAATACTAGTTTCAAAAATAAATGGTTTAATCGATTCTAAATCATTTTCTATGATATTTCTAATAGGATGTATATTATTTAAATCAATAGAATCTAGATTTAATGGTTTTAATTTATTTATAGATTTTTCTGACATCTTTGTAAAATTAAATTTTGGCAATTGAATATTTTTATAATTAAATTTCGTATCACCTAAATTTTTAATCATTACATCATTGATTTTTATTTCGCAATCAGAATTTAATTCAATAATGTAACTTCCTAATAAAGGTATATTTTCACCATTACTTTGACAATACTGAATTGCAATAGTTTGTTTAGGACATATAACTATCCATTTATTTTGTTCAATTTTTTGAACTTTATTTTCCAAAATTTCAACAGGTGTTAAATGACAATTAGAAATAAATTTATTATATTTTAAAAAGTTCAATTTCACATGGATTATTTTGAGATATTTTAACTATATTAGAGTCTTTGCAAATAAATTCACTTGAGTCACTTCTTCACATTTATTGTCCAGAAACGCGTAATTCTGTTCATTAAATATTAAGTATTTTGCATTAGGTATTAATACATTTAGGGAATTATTATTTTTACAGGAAATGGGTAAAGATGATATAGATTATAACTATCATTTTCCACAATAGGTATTTCTAAAATAAAAATTATTTTATTTGCATCACTATAACTTTTAATATTTATAGTTTTTTCAAAAAGTATTAAATTTATAAGTTCAGGTTTAAAAGGTAGTTTAGAGTTCTTTAAATACTGTGAAACAGAATTTATTTCTTTTGAACAATTCGTCACTCTGAACAATAGAATTGTGAAATACGTTTATCTTAGCAAAACTTATGGCAGTTTCGATTTTTTCTAATATATCATAAATAATCTGATATTCATTGATTATTTGTGAAAGAGTAATTTGTAATAATAAATATTGATATGTATCAAGAAAATATGCTTCAGTATTATAAAGAATTGTTTCTAACATATCAATACGATGTTTAATTATTATTTGATTATTAGATAGATTTTTAATATTATTTTGGAAATTTTCAATTGATTTATCCAACATTGAAATTTGATTTTTAATAATCGTTTTTATTTTTAACTGATTGTCAGAAAGATTTTCAATGGCTTTATTATATTTTTCAGCATCATACTGATCTAAATTACCAGTTATTGATTTGATTATCGATCCCAGTCCATCAATTAAACCACGTTTATATCTATTATTATTAGCACTATATAAAGGATTAATTTGTTTAATTTGAATATTTATTTTAGTTTGCAATAAATTTGCTAAATTATAAGAGTTATAAAAATTATATTTGTATGTTTTTGAAACATTAGTATTATTTTCAAAAGCAATTTTTATTCTAAAATATTGATTTTGAATTTCATTAAATTGTTGAATTAAATTAGTTATATCAAATACTTGTATAAATTTCCAAGTGTCGATTTTATTTTGGGCGTTGCCTAATTTTAAGGGTAGTATTCCTGGGTTATCATTCATTCGGTGGTATTTTGGTTCTCCATAGGTGGTGGCGAATCTGAAACAACAGGTGGTTTCCTCAATTCTTGAATATGTAGTATTTCTTTTTTATTCGGATCTTTTTTCCGGGTTATTTCCACTCGATTCCTTTCTAACATTTTTGTTATAGTGTATGGTCCCAAGAATTTATTTTTTGATTTATTCCTTTTAAAGGGTTTAATTTATATACCGTCTGTCCTAATTTAAATTCATCATTTGTGTTTCCTTTTTACATTATGTTTAGAAACAACTTTCTTTTTGTTTATTTAGATCTTCCTTTACTTTTTTCATAAACTTTTTCTAGTTTTTGTTTATGATTTTGAGCATAATCCGTAAAATATTCTTTTTAGATTAAATATTTCATTTGGCTCTTGAGTTCGTATGGCCAAAAGTTAGTTCAAATGGTGTATATTTTGTTGAGCTATGTATTGTATTATTATAGGCAATAATAGCATAATCCATCAATCCTTCAGTTTCAGTAGGGAAACTTTCTTTCAGTAATCTTAGGTGTTCTATAATTGTGGAGTGAAATCTTTCAACTACACTGTTTGATTCGTGATGTAAGGGGGTGGTAAAATGTACTTTAATTTTATGTAAATTTAAAAGTTCTTTGACAGTTTCGTTTCTTAAATTCTGCCCCATTGTCTAAAATTATTTTTCTGGTATTCCCGCAAAAAGCAATATATTTAATTAAGGCATTTGCGATGTTTATTGCATTTTTCCAGGTATTTCAATTGCTTGTGCATATTTTGAAAATGCGTCAACTAGAGTTAAATACATTTTTGAATTATAATAGAATACGTCAATATGAACATTTTGAAAAGGCTTAGAAGCTGTTTCGGTTAACATTAAAGGTGAATAAGGTTTTTTCCTACAATATTTTGCGCGTTGACAGATGTCGCAACAATTAATATAATTTGTAATTTCTTTTTTCATGCCTATCCAAAAATAATTTCTTTTAAATATTCGAGAGTTTCACTTATGCCCCTATGATTTGTTTTCCCTTCATGATGATTTTTGATTAGTAAAATTTGTTCTTCTTTATCTATTACTGTATTTATTAATTTAGTGCAACGTATTAATTTTGGTCCCTTCTCCGAAAGCGTTCAAGATAAACTTTATTAAATTGTTTATAAAATTCATCTAAATGAAAATACATGTGATAAGTTTTACTTTCCACTGTATAATCCCTTAAAAATTCAAATATTAAATTATAGTTATTAGTTTTGGGAATTTTGACATTAATTATTTTATGATGTTGATAGTTTTCTTGATTAACAATTAATTTATTATGAAGATGTGGAAAAACTAATATTTGATTTGTTTTGTTGTTTATAATCTCTTCCAATATTGAAATTCCATCATTGGTAGTTTCCATGACGTTAGAATGCTGTGTAGTTAAATCCTCTTGTTCTTTTTCTTGTATATCTTCATGTTTTTGCTCTTGTTCTTCTTCTTGTTGTAACTCTTTTTTCTGAACTTCTTTCCTAGTTCTTGGTGATCTAATTTGTATATCTTGGAGAATTTTTATCTTTTCTTTTTCTTTAGTTTTATCTGTGTTCTTTTGGCTTGTTGAGGGTTGTTCTTCACGGTCAACATTTTCTGCTAGGTCTCTTAGATAATCAATAGGGTCGAATCCTTGTTCTTCTGTGTCTCCAGGGTGATTTATCATCGATTCATTTTCTAGAGCATTTATTTGAATTC